TTAGGAACCTCGGCATTCACTTATGCAAAGCCCATGTAGCTAAAAGCACGTATAGGGTTTCAGATATGGTATCATTCGATGCATTGTAAATCGGGAAACTATATTGAGAATCGAAGAATTGTTGAAATCCAAGCAAAAACACCTCTATGTCCGTTCTATGCTAAGCCAATGGCATATATCTCAAGTGAATGGCATATATCTCAAGTGAATGGCATATATCTCAAGTGTTGATACAAGAATACAAGAATGTAAGAGTCATTTGGAGCTCCGGGCTACCAATCATCGGGGAATCACGCGTCGGTAGGTGGCTTTGTCTCAACTACGTCGAGGAATCCTCCGACCAAATGAATGCTGCCGGTGACAAAAGTCATGACCGGAGTTTCGTCCTTCTGCAGGACCTTGCGTTCCTGACCCGCAATTTCTCGCGCAAAGTCAACAGCTTCCTCAATTGTACCGAAAATATGTGTTTGAGCGTGAGGGTCAATAGCATTCCACTCCACCGCAAGAGACTTCTGGACTCGAAGATGTTCGAGGTCGTCAGCATTGGTGTTCATACTGACCAAGTCGGGTCGGAAGCCCGCCTCTTTGTAGGTGATGTTCGTGCAGAATAGGGCGTGAGTGAATGGGGTATCATTTCCAAGGGCAGATGAGAGGGTCTCGTGGAGAGCACGAGCAAGAGCCGTGCTATCACGAGTCTGTTGGTTGAAAATCAAAATCCGTGTCTTCTTGGCGGCTACATCCTCGGACGAGGAATCCGCCTGGATACGCGACGCAAACCACTGGCCAGCCAGCCGGATGCTCTCTAAAGTATGCCCGCCATCGATATACCAAGAGACGTTCTTCTCGAATCGGGTTTCACACCGACCACCTAGGCGGGTTTCCTCGAGCCCAGTCTTGAACTTCGCCGGTAGTGGTCCTTTCATGATATTGTCTGGAACATCGATATTAACCTGGCGCAAGAAATCCGCCGCAGCTGCCACTGCCACCGAGGCGTTGGTGTACTGGAAATCTCCAGCCAATCCAAGGGTGATTTTGCTGCTCTCAGGACGAAGCTCAGAATGGCCAGCAACAATCTCCAGCTGAGCGCCAGCCTCCTCGGCGCGCTTAGCCAAGACTTGTTCCGCACTCGGAGGTTGTGGTGCCGCGAACCCATTTATGCCACGCTTGAGAATGCCACCCTTGTGCCACGCAATTTCCTCAATCGTATGTCCAAGCATAGCAACGTGATCAATACCAAGGCTACTAATCGCCGTTACCTTGGGTTGCGGGATCACGTTGGTACAGTCATATTGACCACCGATTCCACATTCGATCACCGCGGCGTCCACGCCCTCGCTCAGGTAGGTATGGAATGCCATCAGGGTCAAGTACCGAAAATATTGTGGTTTCGCCCCAGGCCCAGTAGGATCCTGACCCGCCAGTTTAGCAGCCTGCTCCAGACGATCCCATACCTCGAAGAAATAGCGCGCAAACTGCTCTTCAGACAATGGGGTGTTGTTGATCTTTATGCGCTCACGTGCGAACCGGAGGTGCGGGGAGGTGTAAAGACCGATCTTGAGGTTGGATTCAGGTTGATCCGCATCTTTTCGGGAGTATTGGGAGAGGATTGTGGAGATGAAAGCGGAGGTCGAGCCCTTGCCTTTCGTGCCGGCGACATGAATTGCGTTCAGCCGATTGAGGTCGGAAGGCTAGAGAACGTAAAGATCCCACATTAGCTTCACTCACAAGGGATTAACATCCTGCCATCAGCTCAGCACACCTTGTATCCGATGCGCTGCAACCAGTCCACTGTCTCCGGGAGGGATAAATCGTTCATCTCCTGCCTCGTTTTGGACTTCCTGAGCGCCTCCACAATCGCATAGTTGGTTTGCAATGAGTTAAGCGATGAAATCGCAGCCTATCCATCTCAATGTCAGCATATGCCATATTTTGCCAGAGTAATCCCCTGTCGCAAAGCCCCGAGTAGCATACCTCGTATGTTCGAGTCATGATGGGCGAACGAGTTGAAACTCGCCGTGCGCAAAACTGCCAGCGAATAGAGGTCCAAAGCCTTCTCATGGACAACTGAAGCCCGTGCCTTGAATCCTCAAATGAGCAGGGGTGATTGAAGAAACCCCGGTAGCTCTAACGATTTATGATTCTCTGGTTGATCCCACCCGCTCTCCTCGGGAAACCCATTTGGCACTGACCGGGAAGATCACGTGCTTGTTGACATTACACAAGAATCAGAATGAAGTCAAGCTATATATACACGGATGTTTTATTTCATGAACAGTGAATCAATACATCTGCAGATAGATTTACATAGTATGATGACAGGAAGCTAATGCACGAACAATGTATGGTATGGATAACCGATTTTGTTAACCTTCACTAAAATGACAAAACCCGCTTTTTCAACAATCTATACGGACATCGATAACTAACCCTATTATACACTTTTGTGTACTAAGTGTTATATGATTTTCTAGGTAAAATACCCTATATCTACTATATACTCGACTTAGTATTCGATATGTCCCCTAGTTCTTGAAGCCTATATTTTCCTAGCTTAAGAGCTATTTGTTACGCACCGCCAACTGGTCACAGTTAGGTTAGATGGGGTCAAGGTATACTTGCCTTAATACTCCTCGAGTTGTCCAATGTCAATGATCTGTTCTCTTAACCGTACTGTCACCTAACAGGCCATACTGCAGAATAGGTCCTTTTGAGGCATCGAGGAACGATGCTAGGTAGACCGCCGAATAGATCTATACCAGAGTATTAGTCTATGCGTAAGTATCATCGAGTTACAATTAAGTTAAGGAGTCATAGTAATCCAAAAGGTAAACATAAGTAGTAATATATGATTAAAGACGAAGAACTAAACTGAGTATATAAGGGAGTGTCCTTATATATTCTACGTTTCCTGCTTCCTCGGTGACTACCTAGAGTCACTTTTAGAGTCACTAGTAACTTCTAGATATACTTCTTAAAGTCGATCCTAGAGTCACAGTCACGTATTCCCGTAGTATGCGAATGAGGATTGTCACTGTAGATATTATCCGGTACAGATATTATCATGTATATAGGAATGCCTTTGACAGTGGGTCTTGCTCCGGGGGGTCGTACTCTTGCTCGCTAAGTATGATCGGGGTCTTCTCTTTCCTAAATCCCTAGGGTTGCCTGGGTATTAGATATTGAACGTGATCTGCTGACAGATATATTGGTTGCTTCTTGGTGGCCCATCGGTAGGTATAGGTCTCTACATATGATCGGTGACTAGCATTTCTATGTCGCTATAAAGGATAATATCGCTAGTAGGACCCGGAGAGGAAGAGGCACTATTAAATAAGGTATATTATTTAAAGGCCCTCGTCAAATACGTAGAGCAAAGAGGACCCCTCAAGACCTATAATAACGTTCCTAACAATGTTCGCGAGCGGTTCTATACTAAAGAGAACTAGCGACTTGATAAAAAGAAGAAAACTACGGATAACTCTACAATCGATTCAACGTGTCCTCCAATCAAGATCCATTTTCTCCTTGCAAGATCGCCTTAACCATTGATACCAACTCTACCTACTAATGGAGCAACGCCGGCTAAGGCCCGTAGTGCTGGATCAATCATAGTTTATTATGCTACTGGATGTAGCTGTGGAAGAATATACCGACTAGCAGCGGGCTTCGGTGACCAATGAGGCTTTCAGGGACACTATCACCAAAGCACGCGATATACCACTTAAAAATTGCCTCGATCTCCTGTAGGTTTATGAGGATCAGGACCCGGATTTTTTCGTCAAGCCTGGCGTAAAAGTATGCGGCCCGGCGGTTCGTACGCGATAGTGGCCTCTGGGTAAAGCAACGCGGGGAAATCGTTTGCCATGAAAGTATTAGTGGTTCATACTAGACTTGATATAGTTTATAGCTAACGAATAAAGAACAGCTCACACTGGCATTCCAGTACAGCTACGCTCGAAATCAGTTTCACCTCTCTACTGTCTCCAATTCTGTGTTAAACTCTGTCCATTCACGGTTAGCCTACCCCTGACCCGCAATTTTGGAAGTATCTCACGGTAATAAATAATTGGACAAAAAATAAAAATGGCTATCGTATCATGGTTGTATGAGCCATGCCGTCTCTAGAACAACTCACTTGCAAACAAGCCAAACAGAGCAGTAAGTTTTCTAGCCACTTCACCTCTCATTCCTTTCGCGTTCACTCCGCTAAGATAGTGGACAAGCAAAGACATACGTGGATACAAAGTGAATAGGATAAAATATTTCTTTATAACTGACTCATCCGCCCTACAAAAAGCTCTAACCTAGGAGTCAGCCTGAATCCTCCCACCCCGTGGGATAATGTATGCATATGTTCATATAAAATAATATTTGATAAGAAGCATCTACTACAGAAGATAACTCCATTTAAAATTGAAAACTCCTCTGAGGCTCTCGCTCTCTCCGCTCCACCTTGACACGGAAACTAGTTTGCGGCAACTTAGCAGCCAAGCGTAACAACTTCTCTGAGTGACCACTGACTAGAAGCTTTTCTCTGTGCAGTTAGGGATAAAGTCTCTTGATGACGGCGATATCAGAAGCATGAAGGTTCCTTTTCGTCCCTGTAGCACCTGCGACAATATATGGGAACATAACAGGCTCTTTAATATCATTGTGTTGAAGGCAACCAGTGCCCAATCTTGTATAGGGCAACTCTCATTACGAAATCCTCGTTCCACTGCTCGTCATCGTCAAAATGCGCGTCATCGGCAGTATACCACCACTCAGAGGAGGGTAATACGCATGAGCGAGGATCGAATTTTTCCCGTCGAAAGCATTTACATTTCCATTCCCGTCATTACCGACGGCAAATTTCATAATGATATCAGCGTCCCCCCTTTAGTGACTCCTAGAATGAGGTATTTGGCGTGCATTTATCCCATTCGTCGAAAAACCTCGTTGATGTCATTGTCATTGTGTATAGAATGAGTGGTGATATCAGGGGAACCATTCCCGATTGTCTAGGAAATAACTGGCTTAGGCCGGCTACTACAGGGGAGGACAAAGTTGACAATTCCGTTGTTATCAGGAAAGCCGCATCGTTTTTCGTTCATAATTGCTTGCGTTTTTGTGTCGTATCTACCGGTTACGTTCACGCCAAAGGGGTGCTGCAGAACTCGAAGTGTAACAGGTCCATCCACTTCAGCATCGAATTCATCAACTTCTCTGTACGGATCCAAGTATTCAAATCTTGCAAGATATGATCGGACAGCCTTTTTGGCCTCATGGTCTCCGAATTCCACAGCAGCAACCTCTGGTGTTGTCCAATCAGTTTTCATAATTGCAACCTTTCCCCAGGAGTTGAGTTTGTAAAATAAAATTTGCATAGTTTTGGTGCGAGTAGTGTATCGAGTTGGCCTGGTTACTAGTATAAGAACCAGACTTGGAAACAAGTATTATTGAAAAATAAAGATAAACCCTCCAGGAAGATTGGAGTCAGTCATATACCGTGCTATCAGTGAGAAGTTTTGTTTATCATTCTTTGATGTCATGTTAAGATGCGATGACAACAGGGGTGTATCTAGATTGTTCTAATAACTGCTGATTCCCATACGGAGTATGTAAAACTAAGCTTATTCAAATGAAGAGGTGTATTCTAATAACTCCACTAGTCATTGGCCGAGAGGGATGACTAGTAGGAATTGAGTAAGATAAACTAGGGGATCTATGCTGTACTCACCTCTAATCTTGTGGCTGAAAGAATGCGCCAATTTACAGCGTTGGTAAAACCAACAATACGAATGATGTCAGCTGCCGGTAACATTCAATCCGGATTAGGTACGGGCAAGTTACTTTTCTACTGTCAGATTATTGTGAAGCACAGCACATCTTGACAAACAATCTTAGAAGACAACATTCAAATCAACATTCAAATGAAAGGCAGAAGATTTCCGAGTGTAGACTATGAGTCTCAGGAGTTGGCTTAAACAGTACTGTCAAACATGGAAACGTCACAGTCAAGATCAATCTTGTATCACTACCAGTGCTCTTTTATCAGGGTTAAGGTTACGAGGGCAACCGTGAGTATGAGGTTTAATTGCACTTTTTCTAGATATCTGCTGTCCGTCAGCATAGTAACTTTAAGCTCGTACACAGCCCATACCGATTGGTTATGTGTAAGCGGAAGGTGATATTGATAGTGACGACGAACTGCGGGTAGCCGACCACGGACGAATTTAACATAAGGTTGCGGGCTCGGACGATAGACGTACGTCATGTAGCCTACCCGACGGTCATCCGCTTCGGACGCTAAATCTTAAATTAACCTAATGGTAAAAAAGGTGTATTACTCTGTCTTTTTGTGATATACAATTTCGTATTTAGAGTTCCCTACCGCAGTTAAATTCATAATCCTAAAGGCATTGGTGTTAGCGGCTGCTTATGGCTTTATTGGGCTGCCGAAAGATTTTGCATTTGTATTAATGGTGTCTGAAGTGTATCGTTATAAGCTATGTGGGGACACTTAAAGCTGTATTCCTTGGTTATGAACTAGTTAAACCGATCTAAGTCGAGGTTTGATACTGTGAGATAATTGGATGTCGTTTGCTGTTTGCGGAAATATAACTCCTTCACACTGTTCGTAATGGAGGAGCCTAGACTAGACTTGATATTTCCCATGGCGGTCCCATCGGAGGCAAAAGAATTCCCATTAGTGCATTATTATTCGTATAAATTTTTGATGAATTGCATTCCTTACATATATTTATATTGCATATTATTACGTTGTAAAAAGGGATAAAAACAGGCGTTAAACATACGTATTTCTTTTGTATAATTTACGTTTGTATTGTTTACAGTCCCATGGTGGGAGCACCCCGGGAAATGTCAAGGTCCAGCCAGACCTCATCCACAGTTTATGGAAAGTCGGGTCATATTTGGAGGAAGCCCGCTACTCCGTCGGACCCAAGCTTATAGGTAAGCAGCAGGTCAACTTAGTTCTCTACAATTCTAGGTCACCGACACATGCCTATCCAATTAATCGACTCCTAGTTACGACCTTACAGTTACTAAATGCTTGAGGGACAGCAAGCAACACTTGAATAGAGTGTAACTAAATAGAGATTAGGATGTGGTTCGGAAACAATTATAAGTATCTAGGGGTAATTTAGATTGGCCCCAACTATATGATCATGATCCTTGTCACTGTCGTTCGTAATAAAATAATGTCAGCCAGTCACGGCTGTGCCGTAATCGTTAAGCAGATCCATGGTCTCCTATCAGAGTGCGTCCTGCGTCTGTGTGCTAAAACTTGAAGAAAGGTCAAGGTGGGAACGGAAACGTCAACATCGGTGTGCCGAGCCATCTGTAATTCTGTTTTTAATGTAGCGCCGACTTCCGAAAATTAACCAGGTATATAAAGATGACAATGGGATTTATTTATGAAGTACTAGGGTGATTGCAATCCTAAACAAAGACTTAAAGATCACTTGCTGGTGAATCATGCCGTTAAGGTCCGTGGGTTCCACGGGTGCCCACATTTTACCAAGGCTCTATTACTAAACATCAATCTCTCGGTAAGATCGGACTTCTTCATGTTTCAGGATGCAAACGCAGGGGCATCACGTCATATGGCTTATATCAATTCTCTGAGATATAACCTTGCCACTCATGTAAAAATGGGAGGTTTATCATACATCACATCTACCATGGAGGATATTATGCGTTATGGGCTGTCTGGTACTGCCTAACTGTCACAGACCACCCACTTAATCTAAGTGAACGCACGCTGTATTATTCACAAGCATTGCCTAGGCGTAGATCCTTAAATCATTTTTCTTTCAGACAGTTCTTCGCTAGTATAAACCTTTCCCTTTTTTTCCACCAGCTTACCTCCTACTATTCGGATAGCTAAGTATAGTCATGAGCTTTTGCCTGTTGCTTAATATAGTAATGTATATCATAAGACCCGAGGCTAACATATAACACATATGCCTAAAATATAATTACATCATTAGAAATCGTCTAAAAGCTAACTTGCTTTAATAAGCCGATCTAGAAGCTGCAATAATTCACGTAACCATGTTAGTATGTTGATGGGTTGTGATTCGTGATGTAATTTTACTGAATGCATCTTCGTATGATGTATCATGAGACCTAATATAGAAAGGATGACGAAACCAAACAAGAGACGCAGGTAATTGGAAAGGCCAGAGGTGTCTGAGTACTAATATGCTGTCGTTGGAAAGGGACGGCCAAAGGTATAAATATGGCTAGTAATCCAATCTTCTCTGGCACTCCTACATTTCTAAGAAAAGATAAACGTGAATATTCAATTTCAAATATCCACCCAGAAAGTTTTCCGTTGCAATCCCCATTCCACATCATGGTTAAGAAAGGCCCTACAGTTGGAGGTAATGGTGGTTCGCCGTTCGAGCTCTTGCATGGTAATACGCCCGTGGAACAACTGGACGTATGGTACGGAAATGGCAGTCATCCTACGGAGCAATATACTATCCTGAGGGGTATTAAAGTCAAATGGGCAGACGATAAACCCGCCAATTCCGCCGGACATTGCCCCTCAGAAGATGAGGAGAGAGTTCTGCATACCAGTTTTGACTTCGAACACAATGGCGAAGATCCTCTTGAATGGATGGATCTTTACGGGTCAACTAGCCGTGCTGATTCACTAAGATTGGTTGACAAGAAAGGCTACTTCGAGGCCGGAGGAATCGGTGGTACCAAATCCATTCAACCTGCGAAAAGCAAAAAGCTATGTGGGTTCTACGGAAGGTCAGGACAGGATATTGATCAGCTAGGCGCGATCTTTAGTGATTAAAAGTTGTGAGTTCTACCTATGATCAATTCATATAAAATCTCTAATAATGAAGACAGATGGTTACATAATCAGATTTACCTTAGGCCATTTAAGGGCTCAACTCTCCTCCCGTGGCTTGCTATTTAGTTGATAGTTGCAGTTCAACATGCAGTACCATGCTACTTTCTACGAAAAGTATTGATGCTATCTTTTAAAAGGCTTGCACTCTCATATTGTTGTTTTAAAGAATACTTTGCAATTCAAAATGCAATAAAACGCTCCTCTCCACCAACCGATGTTATTTTACTTTAAGCTATACGACTACTTATTGTAGGATTCTTCTTTACACTACAATAGGCTTAGTGATATCAAATTGGCAACGTACCTGCGAGCTTGACCTTGGCCAAAGAGTTGACCTTGTGTTGAATGACTTTATTCAAAGCCCGAATACAGATTATTTTCGTTTAGTTCTAATCGTATCGGACATATCTGAGTTGTAATATTAGGATGCTCTATGATTTCAGGCGAGTTGTGGCTAGGGACGATCCACTTTATCTGTGTGTGTGCTGATGCCTCCTGGACAATCAAGTCCAGAAGGGAATGAAGATCATTTGTGCACTCATGCTACGCATCAATCTAAAAAGGTTACAGGACTATGCAATTTTGATTACTTATGTCGCCATGTTGACGAGCCCGCCCATGGACTGATGGGTGTGCGCGAGGCTTTTCGTCGGTCCGAATTCAACCCTGACATGAGTCATCATGCAATATGACATGCTTTGAACGGTCGCTACACTATGCGGCTTCGGCCATATATAGGGTAGTCTGAATTGCTAAGTATCACATTACGAATTATGTCAAGTGTGGATTGGGGGAGTCTCGGCGCCATTTCTGGGAGTGGTGGTGCACAGCGAGCAAGAAAGTTGACTCACCACGTCTAGTGTAAAAGACTTCCTCTGCATACTCATCAACCCCTGCCCACCCCCCGCTCAGTGAGTGGATGAAATTCTTTTGGCAGAAGGTCTGGGGTGCTGGATTATGGGATCTATAATAAATGACTAGCTTTTAAGATCGACTAACTAGGAAGATTTCTTGTTTTATAGATGGATTATATAAGATTATTAAGAAAGTAGGCAACTTTTATAAGTTATAGCTACTAGATATAATTCGGGTTTATCCTATTTTCTACTTAAGTAAGTTACAAAGGCCGTGATAATGGAGCCTTTATAGGGTTGTATACACATCCGCCGCTGCCGATAAAGATTATAGAAATAAACAAATAAGAAGTCGAGAAGATCTTGATTACCAGAATACACTTCCTAGAACTAGGTATAGGATAAGCTCTTAATGCCTAAAAGATAACAAGATTACGAGGTATCTTGCGGAATTAAGAGATAGAAGCCCTAAGTATTCTAGAAAGAGTATGATGTAAGGTTCCTATTCTTCTAAGGCTAGCATGTGATATTCTATCGATCCTAGCTAGTAGTGTAAGCGTTAAGCGATTATTCAATTACGTTCGCGATATCTACTATCGTCGTAGTCAATTAAAACTAAGTAACTACGACCCGAGGACTTAGTTTGTATGATAAACCTTCCATTTTTACACGAGTGGCAAATTTATATGAAAATGATATCACAGATTGGGGCCTGAATCACTTCTGGATAGAAGAGTATTTTATACCTCAAATCAGACTGATTGCAATACAAAAACAAGGTGGCCTAGTTCCTCAAGGCCTAAATGTAAACAGTAATGATGACACTTAGGCCACTTGATCGCCCTTATACATCTCAAAGGTTGGGATATTGATAGGCGTGGTGTTTCCCGCCCATAATCCGGCACATCCTGCCCAGTCTGCGATATTGGTCAATACCACCTTGCTCACTTTGACAAAAGGGACCGGAAATATATTAGGACTCACAAGTAAGGAATGCGACAACTAAGCCAAACGAGTACCCAGCCCTTAGCAATGCAGCGCTGCCAACCATGTTCCCACAGGCGAGAAGCAACAAACAAATGCTTAGGAAGACTAGGTCCAGGAATAAGACCCAGGAAGAGCGCACCGCCCCAATAGATAATATCACTGTCAATATAAACCATGCCAGAAGAAACATAGCCAAAGCTTGCTCAAACTCGGGTCGTATCGCTCCTGTTTCAGGATCGGTATATGCCGCCATGATCCCTGTACCCGGTAGGTAAATCATCGCATAGGAGAAATTAAAGGCGGCGTATGAAGGGAATAAGGTAGCCCCAAACTATTCAGATAAGAGTGAGAAAATACTGACAACTTGCTGGCTCTAAATTACCAAGCATGTAGTATCAACTTACTATATTGCCGCTGAGGAATTCTATAACCCCAGCAATAAACTGACAGACGCCCCCAAAAAACATCAAAACTCCGATGAGTATATTGGGCGTGGTAATTGAACGGGCTTGAAGCCCCATAATGGAGATAAGAAATATTCCTTTGATCCACATAAGTAAATGCTCTCCGAACCGAGAACGAAAGGCTTACCGGTAGCAAAAGAGAGCAATCCTAGGGGCGATGGACTTGCAAGAGTGCGGTTGACTATTGGATAGTCAGGGTGGGGCCAGCGGTTAAGGTGACCCCCATCCGTGCTCTTCCGTTCAATGTGGTCAGAGGCATGTTTATCAACAGGCTCCACGATGTCCGACATAGTGCGAGACTGGGCAAGACAAAAACAATATCCGGAATGATGATGTTGATCTTTTCGGGTCCTTCTGGAATCGCCGAAGACAGATTATCTGCCAGAGGACTTGCATTCCTCTGGGTTACCAATTTTATATCAACCACTGCAATTGGAATCAGTTGTCCAAAATTACCGATGCGCAAGCGGGGTCCCCATTGTTCTCTGTGGGCGCGCAAAGTTCAAGCAGAGCCACGAACTAGACTTTGTCCCACTTCGAACAAGAGCCAATGGGTGGCTTAGATTCTAACCTCGGAACATTCGGGATCTCCGGGCCAAGGTTATCGGTCCAGGAGGATCGCCCCAATAATTACATCCCATGCCTCTGGCGGTGTGCGGTGGTTCTCGGGCACGGGTAACTAACCAAGTGTGCTGATCTAGGGTCACTCCTTAAGGAGTCACAATTATTATAACAATAATATCAGAGCTCATTCAGCTGCTCGCTATCTTACAGAGGAGCCTCCACCCTCCAGTCGTACCTGTTACTTATAAGCTCTACAACCATTCCTAGGTCATTGTTGAATCATCTGCACGTCGCTTCGCCCGTCTATAATTACTACTACTTCACATATAATGGATATATATACAGGGAAATGATCACATACTTCTGCTAAGGGATTTATCTATAATTACTTATAGTATTATTATAATTTAATATTTATCCGTCGAGACATATATATTGATTGGCCTTTGACTCAACTGATATAAAAAAGAGCAGCTAACATCAAGATTAGTCGCCGTTGGTGTATCTCCACGATTAAAGTGAACCTTTTCCAAGTACAAGTGTTAGCTATATGCTACATCACCAAACCAATTCAAAACACAAAGCAAGGTTGAATGACCAATCGGATTGCTAAGGGTAACTAAGTTCACTAACCAACTGAATGACATTGTCTGTTCTTTTTGTGGAGTAGCCCCCGCCCCCGCCACCGCGATGATCCATACTTCTGACTGAAATATGGGGTCTCTTCCCCGATTCTTGAACGCGACGTGATCTAGCTCTCCCCTACACAATTCAACCCGACCTTCACTTCTTTATCTGGCCCCGATTTCCCGTCAACTACTGTACAGTGGTAAAGAATCCTCCACAGGAAGGCCCAACATGACCGATACCTACAATGCGTCATACCATTCCTCACACACCGAACTCCCAAATCCACGGCGCAAAAGAGGCCGGGTAGCCTGTGACTCGTGCCATTCACGTAAGGTTAGATGTGATTTTACTTCTAGCGGTATGCCCTGTACAAACTGCCGGCTTGATAAGCAGAAGTGCTTCCCGTGGAAGCCACGCAACAAGTGAGACCCTCGAACCTATTTACTCAGAGGACGTGACCTAACTCGATCATAAAAGACATAGAAAAAGGCATACCAGCAATTCTCCCGACACGAGAACTAATCAAACTACCACCGCGACCGTGACCTTCCCTCACAGTCCGCTGGATGTGTACCCACCATCTTTGTCTGACTTCCCAGATCCCAGGCCGGGAGTGAGTTTCGATTTTCCTCTCGCTCCTACTTCACTACCATCACCCAACGGCTCTTCTTTCCTATATGGGAATGAGGAATCAATCAGGGGACTGGTTCTCCCCGGTTCGCCTTCAGAATGTATTTCGGAGTATTCGTCACTTCGACGGAATGTTTCCAGCACGAGCTCACTTCGCTTTTCGGTACCGTCGATGCTGGGCGAGAGTGCATCCGAATCAAGCAAGAGAATTTCTGACCGAAGTGTCGTCTTCTCGTACTACGAATTTCTAGGGTTACAGGGTCTTCCCAAATTGCTTTCAGCGGACGTCAAATATCTCGAATCTAAGGGGTGTTTCCGGGTTCCCAGCGATAATTATCTGGACGATTTCATGCAGATGTATTTTCTCCACGTCCACCCCTTCATGCCAATTCTCAACGAAGGAGACTTCTGGAACTCATATGGGCAGAAGGACAACATGCTTGGTGCCTCCAAGGTCTCCCTCTTGGTCCTCCAAGCCATGCTGTTTGCTGCGTCCGCAGTATGTAACACGGTTTCATATCATGATACTAGTTCTTGTGCTAATACAGTTTAAAGTTTGTTCCCCTGCGCACATTACGAGCCTGTGGTTTCAGAGACTCTCATGAGGCCCGGGAAATGCTCCACCAGCGTGCTGCTGTAAGGAATACAGAGCCCCTCTACTATTATCTGCTAATGATGGTGTTTCAATAGCTACTCTATCAGTTTCAATCAGAATCAAACTTATCCTCCATAGCGCAGGCATCCCTGTTGTTGTCGCTCCAATCGTCCGCCCGTGATGTTCATAACAATACGTCATTCTTGTCCATCGCCATTCAATGCGCTCGTTTGGACCGTGCCCACCTCTACAGTGTACTTCCCCAGATGAGCGCACGAGAACGACAGGATAAAAAGAGACTGTGGTGGTGTTGCCTTGTACGTGACCGAGTCATTGCGCTTGGGGTGCGCCGGCCACTTCAGATCACCCCGGACCAATTTGATCAGCATAGGGAACCTTTCGCAGAGGAAGATTTAGAATGCGAGGTTGGACGATCTAGGGTTTATGATTCGGAATCCAAGCGGTCGCTCATTAAGATCTTCGTTACGCAGTGTGAACTGGCAGCCGCGCTCACATCAACCATCATGGCTATCTATCCGCCGGACAGTGTTCTCATGTCTCTGCCACACGCGAGCCCAGATCTGGCGGGGCTGTCCGGCAGGATAAAAAGTTGTAGACAGGACCTCAATACGTGGTCCGATGCTGCAGAGGCACGATTAAAACACAACTCTGGAAAGGACGTTCTGGGTGTTAACTTTGTGACGCTGTACGCAGATCTGTTGCAGATATATTACCAGTAAGTGGACGCTTATGTCCGGCCGCATTATCCAGTTAGCTCATTCCGCTTAGTACTGCCCGGATGGCGCTGTGCCATTTCATTATCTATACTTCCAGCACGTGCTATGCTCGCAACGCAGACTGGACGATGCAGTTGAATATCAGCGAGGGTGATCTCAAGTCAGCCTACGCCGGCCTACAAGATGTTTTCAAGAGGCTGGTGAAATCCAACCTCGCTGGCTATCTTCCGATTAGCGCGTATGCCACCTTCATCTCGTCGATTTCCATTCCGCTGTCACCAAAGGCTACAAATACTGATCGATTGCAGATCCGCGTATACGGCACTACCTCTGCTATTGGCCTCTCTCGACGTCTGCCTGTCAACATCGGAGTACCAGAAGAAAAGGCATATGCGAGACCTCTCACAGTGGGCAGAGGCCATGCGACAATACGAACGCCGTTTCAGATTCGCCAAATTTGTTTCTGAGATAGTTCGTAAAGTTCTTCAGTTTGTGAACTACGCATCATCGTCAAGGGCTCCTTGGTCCCCAGTCGACAATATATCCGGATTGACCGCATCTACACCAAACCACCTACCTCGAAACTGGAGTGAAATTCATGCGCAGAATCCGCAGCTATATTTCAAGCTCTTGTTCTCGCTGGACCATTCCCTATCTTACGGGAAAATGCCGTCTTTAGGTGAACTTCCTGATTGGTCTCTTGCGCAACGCAGTCCCCGGCGAGATAAGTCACTGGACGCTACAGGATGGGCAAACGGAGATCTGGATTTGAACTCTTCAGCAATGTTGGGTACTTTTTCTCCGGGTGTACTAGAGCGAAGCGTCCCTTTTGACTGCTCATCAAACGAGCAGTGGGAAACTGTCCTTTCGATTCCGAGATTATCGCCACCTCCCTATCTCCAGCCGTCTCAACCGCCTGAGCATGAGGATGTTGTGGCCGGATCCCAAACAAATCTTGCTTCCGTGCGCTCTGAGCCCCAGGCATATCACAATGACAACGAAGTGGATGCCGGTGACGACCAATCAATGTTCGACACACTTTCCTTCCTTCTCCAGTATTCATGCCCCTCTATTGGATAGTAATTACGGAGAAGTAGGTTTGTGTGTGTTTTCGAATTGCACATTGCTGAAATAATTATAGATAACGTCCTCTTTTGGTAGATGTTAGTAAACCAAGGTGAATCTACTTTCAATCGGCGTCTTTCACTCTACGGAATGGTCGTAGGTAGCAAACCTCTCCAGACCAACGAGAGACATTTGTTTGTGTGCTACAATTCCGAAATTCATACTGGAATGGAATTAACCATGCCTCGAACTGTACTTGCAACGCCGGGACCTTACGATCTTCAATTCTGGGAAGCTCTAGTGCTGTTTAAATATTGCTTTTCTGCTGGAGAATAGAGTTCTGTATAAGTTGTATCAAATCATGCGCCACGGCGATTTCCGACTTCTTTAGTCTGCTTTCCCTCCTGATCACCCCACAGTAGGAGATGCAAGCTTAGAATTGGCGTACTGAGGGGCACATGGCCATCTCCAAGTAGGTAATTAAGCCAGAGCTATGCTAGTGCGGATGTCCATGGATCTCCTCATTGAGGATATGGTATGTGATCCAATATCCAGGAGGATATGCTGTATTCTAGTGGCGACAGAACAATACCATCGAGACTGTCAAATGAAGCTATATTGGTATGGCCCCGTATGGATGCAGGATGAATAAGGCCAAGCGGAACCAGAACAGAATGAATTGGTTGATTGATCGGAGAAGAAAATTGGAGGATCAGCAAATACCGAACCTCATAATTACCGAGGCCGAGCCGGGGAAGCCTTCCCGAGGTCACCACACGCCCTGGGTGTTGCATAGAAGAAGAAAACGTAGAAAAGGAAGGTGGAAATATCAAGCTGAAAAAAGGGTTTCCTGATCCTACGTTCTTCTGTTTGGTCACACTGGGACCCCCTACTCTAGGTTGACTGAATATTATCCATCTGCGCGGGTAGCAGACTGAGCTGATTAGTTCCAGTCTGTTCTTAAGAAAACCAAAACGAAAGGTCGCCACGTCGTTCCACCTCTCGTTATTTACTGTGCTCAGTGCTAGCAGTGAATCTTCTAATGGCGTCGTCAACCGTTCTACCAGTGTACGAGCACATCATTTGCTCAACTCCGAAGCCCAGGGTAGGTCTGAGTAGGTTACCAATTCCATTGTTATTTATCACGCAGATCGTGGACCAGACATCCCACACGTCCTAGATGTAAGGATCCTCACTCACTAACAATCGCAGTTGTGCTCAACCGACCGCAAGCGCTGAATGCTCTCTGCAATGCGCTGGTTACTGAACTCAACGACGCGCTGTCTCACTTCGATAAAAGCAGGAGTATTGGTGCGATCATCATAACTGGCAGTGAGAAGGCTTTCGCTGGTATGCCTGAACCCAAACCATCCCCGCTTTCCTTCCCATGAGCATCAGCTTTGTCGAGTCCGGTGGGCTGATCTGGTACCCCTGTGTGTCCAAATGTAGCCGGCGCAGATATAAAGGAGATAGCGGAGTTGTCATTCTCGGCCGCATATTCAGAAGATATTGTTGCCTTGTGGTCGCACCTCGCGAACAATATCCGGAAGCCTGTCATTGCGGCAGTCAAAGGCTACGCGTTGGGTGGAGGCTTCGAGCTCGCGCTCATGGCGGACACTCTCTATTGTACCTCTGATGCAATGTTTGGTCTGCCGGAGATCAAGTTGGGGGTTATTCCCGGTTCTGGAGGCTCGCAGCGTTTGACGAGAATTGTTGGAAAGAGTAAGGCTATGGAGCTGATTCTAACAGGCGAATATCTCACTGGTAAGGAGGCCGGGGAGTGGGGACTTGCGGCCAAAGTGATTACCGGTGGAAGAGAGGAATTACTCGCTGCTGCTATCAAGACAGCGGAGAAAATCGCCAGTTACGGCCAGATTGCAGTGCTAGCAGCCAAGGAGGTGGTCGGCAAGAGCCAGGAATTACCACTCAGAGAGGGTACAGAGTATGAACGACGACTCTTCCACGGGCTGTTTGGAACAGCAGACCAGAAAATCGGTTTGTCACCCTTGTCTATAATAGGGGCCGTGAATCATGTATAAATCCTCCGCAGTTGCTGATAGTTTATACAGGAATGACCGCCTTCATGGGCAAGAAAAGGCCCGTCTGGTCCCGCATATAGATACAACTCATTCACTGCCAAGTATTCTTCGATCCCCCCTTTTTCTTTAAATGGCTATTTATGGTTACAATTCGTAGAGTAACGGATTACGTGTGAAAGATTAGCTGCTCAAGGCAGTATTGGATCAAAGTGAAAAACACTGAAATCAATTCTATCACTAGGTATTGGATAGCCCTGTAGATTCATGAAGCTAGGATCACAATTTAGAAGGTAACCTCATTGCCCCATCAAGCCTCAAACAACATCCATTAAGCATCCGGTTCCGACATATTTCTAGAACAAACTCTGAAAACTCGTCGGGCTTTCCCGCTCGTTTCGGCCATTCAAAGTTGCGCTCGATCGTCTGTCGTGCCTTTTCAGGCAGTTTCCCCTTCGCGGTCATAGCAGTGGAGAAGAGACTAGGAGCAATAGAGACAGCTCTGATCCCATATCGACTCAGATCTCGTGCCAAGGGTAGTGTAAGTGACCGGATGGCCCCTTTCGTAGCTGAATATGCCACTTGGCCCGGCTGTCCATCGTATGCCGCAGCCGAAGACACCATGACGACGACCCCTCGTTCATATTCGTTCCCAGGGTCGATTGATTCGGGTAACTGGGCAAGCTGGGAGACCACGAGACGGATAAGATTGAGGGTTCCGACAAGATTGATGTTGATGGCATTTTGGATAGTTGAAAGAGCCAACGGCTCGAAAGAAGAGTTGATTATCTGTTTCTCGTTAGATAGCGTTCCTTTGTTGAAGTTGAAGACCAAAGGGTGTGAGTTACCATTCCTGGGGCAAGAACACCTGCGCAGCAAACAGTGCCCCCTAAGGGGGCGTGGGTCTCATTACTCCATTTGACAGTATCTTGCACTGCGTCTGCAACACTTGTCGTGGATGCAATATCTACTGGGTAGAATTTCACCCGATTGGGTGGGAGTTTCTCCACGATGGCTTTGGCAGGTTCAGTAAGATCAAAGACAGCAACATATGCCCCATTGTGAACTAAGCCTGTGGTAGTTGCCAGGCCCAGCCCGGAGGATCTACATGCAACAATGTTAGTGACCTTGAGCCTGATCTTAATGATGGTTGCGTGATCCCGCTTACCCGCCGGAGATAATAAATGTTCTATCTTGCACTCTCATTTTTCTGTTTGGTTCTCTTTTTTCTCAGAACAATAACCGCCGCAAGATAGGTGGCCTTATAGAAGTATACATATCTTGTTTGCTCAAAGTGGATGGTCTCGGCTATCGGGGAGGCAAGCTCGGTAAACTACTGCGGCCTCCTCGGTTCTGGGGGGCGAAAATTATCTATATTAAGATCTATATTTTACATAAATTCGGGTTAAAATAGGTTATTTGTAGGGTTTTAAATCGGGAATCATAACCCTAACCCGCAGCGATTTCGGGTGTAGGTTGAAGGTCTTAACCCGTATTGCGGGTTATGGCGTAGACTAGCCATACGTGATTAAGGGAATCGAGACTATACAATTTTCGCCTATGCGGAGATTATATGAACTACTCCTTTGAGTGATACTATTTTCGGCAAGAATATCATCGATGGTCTACAGTTTAGGGGCGTTCTTCCTCGGACCGATAGGACCACTTCCCGTGGCCTAAACTGCCTCGGAACTGAACTAGTCCTTGCCTTGTCCCGTACCCCTCGTTTCAACAACAGCCCATCATGCTTCCTGATTGACTTATATATAATTTCTCGTTTCTACCGTATTGAAACCATTCCTAATCTTTTGGGCTGATACTCCTGAGCAAAGCTAGCTCACTTATATCGTCACTTGCTTCTAGCCGCATATAACCCACCTTACCTGCGCAAATAAGTGGAAAGTTGTCTTACGTCATGTCTTCCAAGACTTTGGAGCCCACTGGCATCTCCTCGACCGCTGCCGAGCGTCTCAGCCAAGTGGGTCATCATCTAAATCCGACGACCACGGAGCGAACAGAGATTCTAGACGTATATATTCTGAGCGCCGCCAGGACTCCGACCACTCGCTTCGGTAGTTCATTCGCCAACGTGCCGGCTCCACAACTAGGAGCATACGCTATTAAAGAGGCACTCAGAAAGTCCAAGTTGCCTCTGACCAGGATTACTGATGTCTACATGGGCAACGTCCTGCAAGGATCTGTTGGCCAGTCACCTGCACGTCAAGCTGCAATACTTGCCGGACTCCCGACAACGGCCGAAGCGGTCACCATCAATAAAGTGTGTGCATCTGGTCTCAAAGCGGTCGTGATGGCCGCCCAAAACATCCAGCTAGGGTTATCCGAAGCGCAGGTCGCTGGAGGAATGGAAAGCATGTCCTGCGTTCCGTACTACCTTCCCAGAACACCCCACTTCAGTCCACCTGGACATATTAAGCTAGAGGATGGCCTAATGAAGGATGGTCTTTGGGACGTCTACAACCAGATACACATGGGAAGCTGTGCGGAAAACACAGCTCAAAAGCTCAATATCTCTCGAGAGGCTCAGGATGAATATGCCATCCGTAGCTTTCTACGAGCACAAAAGGCATGGGCTGAAGGGAAGTTCAAGGACGAAGTTGTTCCAGTCACTGTGAAGGAAAAAGGTGGAGAGGTTGTAGTCAGTCAAGATGAAGGGTTCGACAGGCTTAACGTGGACAAGGTGCCAAAGTTGAAGCCGTCATTTACCAAAGAGAGTACTGGAACTGTGACGGCTGCAAACTCTTCACCTCTTAACGACGGCGCGAGCGCGCTGGTTTTGGTCAACAGGGCTCTTGCTCAAGAGTACGGGTCTCAGAGCAAAGTTTTGTCAAAAATCATCTCAACGGCTGATGCTGCCGTTGATCCTATTGATTTTACCATTGCCCCGGCCAAGGCAGTGCCGATCGCTCTAGAGCGTGCAGGATTAAGGAAGGAGGATATCGCAGTATGGGAATTCAATGAAGCATTTGCAGCGGTCATCAAGGCTAACGAAAAGGTAGTCTTCAAGAGCTTGTCATGTCGTACATATTTGCTAATCTGTTCTTAGATCCTCGGCCTTGAAAACGCGAACGTGAATCCGCTAGGAGGAGCTATATCTTTGGGCCACGCTCTCGGCAGCTCGGGATCCAGGATTCTTACCACTCTATTGCATCAGCTTAAGATCGGGGAGTACGGCGTCGCAGCGATTTGTAACGGCGGTGGTGCAGCAACGGCAGTTGTGGTTCAAAGGGTTAAGAGTGTAGATTAAGACAGAACGGTCAATCCAGGAGGTTATGCAATCATTCTATTTGCGGATAATACCTTCGCCTCATTTTGGATACACAATTATGTTTGAGAGCTAGGAAAAAGGGTCCCTGAAACTGTAGGTTGTTCAGATTGCCCGCCCGAGACAGAGGTCAGATTTGTTCGCGGAGGCATCGTTTTGGGATATCTAGAACATACGAGAGTACGGAGTATATATGCAAAGGTTACTTCCGTCAGTAGGTGGAATAGACTGCCGAAGCTGCCACCCGTGTGGTCAGTCTTTCTAACTAGTTACCAAGCAAGAAGTGACACATCTCTATTGCCGGCAGGTAAAGAAGTGCCCAGTTGTCGAACGTCGCTTACCATCCTGGTATACTACAGTTAGAACTGGAAGAGTGCTTGCTTGAGGCACCGAAACCTCAACAGACGTTATATACTTTTAGCAAGTCCTTTATCACAGAACTACAGTACTGGTAGTGGATATTACTGAACAAAGTTGTAACTCAGCTATGTTGTCGAATAAGTTCTTGGATCACTGTGAATAAAGCACCCTATGGCAGCGAACTGATCATGGTATAAGGATAGTCTATCCCAAGTCATGTTACAGACAACCCTTAGCATGTCCATTATCTTTAAGTCTGCGTTTCTGGCGTTGCGCACTTTGGAATTGCTCTTTGCCCCTTGCAGGATCCCCACTTGGTATCCTCTCCTCATGGATAAGATAGCATTCACGATCATTTGCTTCCAGTAACTCGTTGATAACTGGTTGTTTCATTAATCGTTTAGTTCCCAAGAGAGAACCAGTTGGGGACAGGGCAAGGTTTTCTGCGATCTCGATAACTTGGTCCAGAAAGTTTGCGGCTGGGAGGATCTTGGTGACCAGACCTAATTCCTTCGCCTCTGGGGCTAGGATCCGCTCCGCTGTAAGACATAACAATGATGCCCTCTGGTGGCCCATAAGCTTTGCGAACGTCAGACTCGAAGCAGCCTCTGGGGCCATTCCCCATTTGACGAACGGTGTGAAGAAATAGGCGTCCGGGATGGAATAGACCAAATCAAGCAATGCAAGGCTGCTGGCACCATATCCAACAGCAGGCCCATTCACCGCGGCAATTAGGATCTTCTCACACAAAATAAGTTCCTTGTTAAGTTGATGGAAGTCCGACCCGGGTGCGAAGGACATCTCCTCGTCACTGACTAGTTCCATGCCGGTGCAGAAGAATTTACCGTTTCCTGTCATGACAATGATCTTGACGTCGTCGTTTTGTCCCGCCCACCGAATGGCCTTCAACATGTCGGCCACTAGTCTAGGATGTAACGAGTTTCCTGCCTCAGGTCTATTGTACTTCAATAATAAAACTCCATTATGTGGTCCCTGAAGCTGGATGAACCTTAGTCCAAGTTCATCTGCCATCTTGACCTGTTCAATCCAGATATATTAGTTATGAGCTCCCTGTTTATTGTTGGTAAGGAGCACTCACTTCTCGGTCTGTTATCAAAAGTTCAAATGTAGAGGTTCTGGTTTGACCGCAGAGATGCAAACGCAGGGGAGATTGCACAGAATGGTTCGATCGCTAAATTGAATCTCGGTTCAAAAGTAATCAAGCACGTTAAATTAACCCTGAAGCAATTCACCAGTGACAGTTTTTAGCCTGAATTCGAGCGCCGAGGCGGGATACTGGTGTACCCTTGATTCTCACCCTAGCCGTCAACCTCGGGCCGTCGGTCGCCCGGGCCGTCATCAAGGACTGGTAAGGCTGCCATAGCTCTAAAATATTGACGATATTTGCGGTGAATGTTAGTTAATGAGGCGCATTAATATTTACTCGGCCCGATTCATAGCTAACCGATGTTGCCAAGAGCGATGGTGGACTAGACAGTTGGTAGAAGCCCCATGCCCCTGGGGGCAATGGCTGTACCCTAATGCCAAATAGATATAAGTAGCTCGCTTTCTTCGCTTTAGCTTCCGGAATTTAACGTGTACGAACCTCATCATTAATATCAATATGGAGTCCCTTACACAGAGTCCTTTGCAACGGCCAGATCATTTCAACTTCGCAACTGATGTTGTTGATACCTGGGCTGCCAAATCGCCCTCCTTGCAGGCCATGTTATGGGTGTCTCACGATAAGGCCACCCAAAAGTTGCTGACTTATCAACACTTCTCCCAGCAGTCACATCGCATTGCTCTCTTACTCGACCAGCTGGGTGCACGCCCAGGAGATGTTATGCTGCTAGTCCTTCCACGGGTTCCAGCATGGTAAGCGTTTTCTTTGACACTGGGTAACCGACTTTCTAACAGGTTTCCAGGTGGGAAATCTCTACAGCCGGTCTCCGCAGTGGAATTATAATTGCCCCGGCTACGACATTATTGACCGCGAGGGACATCGAGTACCGCTGTCAAAAAAGCAAAGCAACGGTTTTTGTCGGTGATACCACGAGTGTCCGCAAGGTCCTGCAGGTCCGTAACAAATGTCCCTCTCTCCGGGTCATCATCCAAGCAGAGGGTGAGCCGGAAGCAGGGGTAACGGACCTGTACAAGTCCCTTCAGCGGATCGAGACAACCGCAAGGTACTGCTCAGTCCGGCGCCCTTGGAATTCTCCGGCAATCGTATACTTTACATCAGGCACTTCTGGTCTACCTAAAATGGTGCGCCATAATCAGGTCTCTTATCCATTAGGTAATTTTAGCAAAGTACCAAGAGTCGCGGCAAGATTAAACTAACAACACAGCACATCTCCTCACCGGCAAATATTGGCTCAATTTAGGGCCTGGGAAGCTCTGCTGGAATTACACCGAGCAAGGTAAGTAGATGCCGACATTATCCCCTTCTAGTGAAATCTCTGCTGACTATTTGGGACTCCAGGATGGGGAAAAGCGGCATATTCTTACTTCGGAGCGTGGAACTGTGGCGCCAGTTTGTTTATCTGGGACGACCGTGGAGCATTCAATGCAACCACAATCCTCGAGCATTTGCATGATTTTCCAATCACAACACTATGTGCCCCTCCATTAGCCTGGCGGCAGCTTGTCCAGCAGCAGTGCCAACAATTCTACCGCAAGCATGCCCCGCGTGCTCTCGCACAATGCAATTCAGCTGGGGAGCCACTGGATAGCACAGTAATTAACCAATGGCGTGGCCTCAGTGGATTAACAATTTGTGAAGGTTACGGCCAAACTGAGACAACCTTGATGTGTGGAAACTATGGTGGTTTTGCAGTTCGCCCTGGGTCGATGGGCAAGCCGATTCCTGGAGTGCCTTTGTATGTCATCAACCTAGCTGGCGAAGAAACTGCAGCGAACGAAGAGGGGGAGTTGGCCCTCCTAGTTACCGATGGAGATTCTCCGTCAGATTTCTTCGGAATCTTCGACGGATATGTTCGTGATAACGGTGAGGTGACACGCAGCGAGAGAATCAGCACCTTCCATGGGAGGACCAGAAAGTGGTACCTGACTGGTGACAAGGCCAAGAGAGACAAGGATGGATATTTGTGGTTTGTGGGTCGCGCAGACGATGTTATCAACTCCTCTGGCTATCGAATCGGTTTGTGACTGCATCCCCAACAGGATCTGCGGAGCTAGCAGCTGATATCTCTTTTCTAGGCCCATTTGAAGTTGAATCCACACTGAAACAGCATCCCGCTGTGGCTGAATGCGTCGTGATATCTTCCCCTGACATGGTCCGTGGAGAGGTGGTCAAGGCTTTCATAGTTCTGACCTCAAGATACGCAAATTCCCCCCAAGCTCAGCTTACAAAGGAACTGCAAACGTTCTGTAAAACAAATTCTGCGCCGTATAAATACCCGCGGAAAGTGGCGTTTGTCAATCAGGAATTCTTACCCAGGACCAATAGCGGCAAGATCAAGAGGGCAGAACTGAGAAAGCTGGAAGGGCAGAATATGAAACCTGGGAACCTTCCTAAGTTGTAAGAGGTGGCGCTTACCAAACAGTATACTACTTTGTGCAACTAAAGGTGTATGTTTCTGTTTATAAATTACTATCCTCATCATCAGAGTTTATTCTTTATATCAAAACAGTAGCCTCTCCCCCAACTTTCTCGAGTAGGTTGATTTCATTCTATTATATATGCTTAAATGGCGACTCCCGTAAGGCCAAAATTGCTGCCCTACGATTGAAGAGAACCGGTGATTGCACCCAATTGTACCCTGATAAAGAGAATGCAAGCAGACCCAAGAGAAGATGATGAACATAAATTTGAGGGTAGTTGTGGGTATTTAACATCTCGGTCGTCACTACGATCCCAGCACGTAAGTCTTTACTCAGGAAAGAGATATGTCGAAGTATGTGGAATGGTAACTTACCACGAAAGGGCTTATTCATCAAGTGCCCACTTCACCATGCTTTTTTATAGACTGCGCCTTTTACCCTGTCCATGGGCACTAGGAGGTGCCCATTACCCGTGGGCATTTTGAAATTACACGTCCATCGCCCATCATTATGCAAAATTAATGTGAGAATTACCATATTAGGCAATTTTATATACACAATTAGCTCTTGGAAGTCTCCACCTTGCCAAGAGTGCCCATGAATGTCTTGGCGACGCTAAAGATGTCTCCACTATAATGGGCGTTGCAGTTTAGTTATAGGGTACTTGACGCCTAAATGGGTCATCCGTAGACTAGGCCAGGTACACCGTTTAACTAACTAGTAGGGGATGATTACACAGATGACGTCAAACTGGACAGATTGGGGACGGTGGGACGTTATTGGACTTCCAGCGGCTCGAGTGCTTGTGGCAGTCGGTTGAGAATATCAAGTCGTGGCTAGACGAGTTCTACAGAATTCCCTGCTCGAAACTTGTTGGCCAGCCCTTTCACCTTTGGTCACAGATGATTCTGAGTAACCCCCTGTCTATGTGGGATGAACAGAGCAATCCCAATAATGTACTTGATTTCAAAATTTGATGCGGATTGGTGGAGATATAGGGCCTTAAATTTATCAACTTTTGAAGTGTAGCAGTTCCACAGAATATCCGTAGTAATGCTAATATAGTACCTGAAACTCACCAGGCCCAATTCAATACTTAAATATATAGCCTCCTTATATACACGTCTCTTGCCTAGACTGATTGAAAAATTTTCTAGTCTATATTTAGACTTCTAGGATTCTTGTATTAATTAGCTAGATTAATCGAAGTTAGAGGAAGTTACTAAAGTGCAATATAGAATATGTTATTGACATTCTTCTATTTAAGGCTAGCTATACAGAAGACTTGGTAGTTTACCGGTATGCAATAACTAAGCAACGAGGCGGGAGAGATGTGACAGCATATCTGAGAGTTCTTCTGCTATAGATGTCAATTCTCCGCTGAGAGAAATCAGGAGCAGAAATGAGACAAGACGTGACATGAGTAAGAGGGTACTCGGATCGATGCCACAGGCCACAAGAACCAGAAATCTAAACACAGTGGTAGCTCTCCGCCAAAGTCGGGTCACTGCCTAGGGTGTAGACTGACTTCTGTGGATATGGGCAGAGGATTTGGTCGTAGGTGGTACCTTTGGCGCTAGTAAAGCTAACAGGCAGCGTTTCTGGAGCAGTACCATTCTCAACCCATTCCACTAAGGCCTCTAGGACTGTATGAGGTTGACCTCCAGAGCCCCCAAAGCAATGCGCTACTCCGGGGGCAAGGAAAAGTCGATAGAAATCATGAATATCAGGGTCTAATTCTTGAACAGCATTGTAATAATGCTCCGAGCCTCTGGTAGGGATGACGGGATCAGCCTAAGAAAATTAGCTTCTTACTGTAGTAAATCGGGACTATAGATAATAAGTTACTTACCAGGCCATGGAAGGTTAGAATTTTACCCCCGTGAGTCTTGAATTGCGAAAGATCAGGGTCAGCTGTCTCGATGGTGCTAGCAAACTGTTGCCTTCCAGAGTAAACAATTTCGTCGTACTGTTCATGGGAGATGCTGGTGAGATCGAAATCAGGGTTCCTTTCAATGAAGAGTGCCATCCACTCTGTACCGAGATAGAGTGGTGCTCCAACGCAAACATCGCCAGTGCAACGTGTCCCAGCAAGACCAAAAGCGGTAAGAGCGCCGGAGAGATCTGCCCCTCTATGCGGCCCATACCATAGGAAGTTTCCTTTGGAAGTTTGTGGGCCTGACCACGTAGCATTTGCTACTACTGCTGCCGTGTGACTGACCTGCATTGTCGTATTTGTGGAAGCGCAGTTAAAGACAGTGCCGACGACCGTGAAGGGGTCAAAAACGCATGTATCTGCATCCGAGATTACACCATCTAGAACGCCATCCAGACCATCGCACGCGGATACAGCTGCTTCAGTGATTGTGTCCAGCTCGCATCCATGAGGATATTTTCCAGCCAAGTTCATAATGAGTTGAGGCCAATACATGGCGGTGAAAAAGGCATTCCAGTTAATGGCCGGAGCAGCAGCAGCAACGCCATCATACAAGCCAGGATATCGTTGTGCGAGCATCATGCCCTGACGGCCGCCCTGGGAGCAACCGTTCCAGTATGACTTTTTTGGCGATCTGCCGTAAAAGTCCTTAATGAGGCTTTTCCCAATGACTGCCTGGTCGTATAACGAGCGAGAGGCTAGATTTTGCATATTATAAAGATTGACGTTGCCGGGGCTCAGTAGCGCCCATGCACTGGCAGATATATCCACCCCGACATTCAAGCCCGCGCATCAGTTGTAACGCCGGCGTAGCCAGAACTGATCGCACTGACGAGTTCTGGGTAGGCCAGTTGGCTGATAGGACCACCAGCAACCCATCCTCCGCCGCCAACTCCTTCCATCCGCTCGTTCCACGAGTCAATCGGCAACCATGCCGTAACGCTGATGTTGTCGCCTTGACCCGGGTGGGTATAGGAAACTGTAACATTGCAAAAGTCCACGTTGGTAGCATTCGCAGTAGGCGTGTTGAAAAGCTGTTCGGCCGGTACAATTGCGGTGAAATTGGTAACCAAATGTGTATTGATGGAGGTTATCTCAGCACCGAAGACATGTGGAGGGGTAAACGTTGACGGGATACAATGCGCATGCCCCGTATTGATGGTAGGATAGTTCATTGTTATCCACTGATGAAGAAGGTAAGACAATGGAATGATAAGAAGATAATAAAGCATCCCCTTGATAAGCAGATATTAAAACATTTCCTCGATTGCAGTACATGGTGACCTTCATATACACCGCCAGGGCTCAGTCCGTGATTTGGATAGTTCTGGAGATCTTGCCCAAAACAAAAGTACCTCGGCGGATTAGGCTCTGCATGCAAACAAACCTTATTTCCCCGCGAAAGCGAAGCGAGTTTAATATCAACTTCCAACTACCGGCTTTTCGGCCGGTTCGGCTTCGGCTCGGTTCGGCCCCGGTAGCCCATTCCTGTCATTCAGTTGTCTGTTGACATTTCACCAACTTGTTGCACGTATAGTGGTCTGCTGATTATTTGGCTAAGTGAAGGAAGGGGGTCGCTTTTGAGAGCTATCCCATAGCTCATATGAGCATGCTGACGCCTGTATGGCTGGTACTTGGCAGTTACAACGCTCGAGTTCATGCGTAATTCAGAATTACAATGCTACAAAACATGAGAAAAGTAGGCACTTGATGAATAAGCCCGTTCTCGCCGGGTAGTAAGTTACGACTCTATATACTTCGACAATTACATATTTCTCTTTAGGATTCATATATATACCTTTATTATACACAAAAGCCTTGAGCTAAACTTAGCTAGTATATTAGATAAACATTTATACTAAATCCTGGGGCTTGATTTTAGAGTACATAATACTTTCTTTAGACGATAGTATTTTTTTAGGGTTGTTAAGGATTTGGCTGCGGCCACTCTCGTGAGTTGCAGTATTTACTTCCAAATAGTTCAAGATCAATTTTTGAAATTGGTTTTTTAAGAATCCATGGTTGGTTGGTATTCAATTCTCGCCCAACTACCTAATAAGAATTTGAAGATCCATATAATAATTACCATCTATTCAGCCCAAATACCCGACTATCTCTTGGAAAGTCTACAAAATATACCTGACAAGGATCAAGCGGAGTAGATTGTGGCTATGAGAGCTGCCGCCAGGAAAAAGAGATTAAAGAACAAAGATAGGACATTTTCTATCAAACAATGGCACCCCAATAGGTCATCATCTAGATCAAGTTTAATTTCTCACTGATCACCCAGTGAATGCTCACAGGTCCCATTAGCCCATAACTTTGCCTCTCGGTATTTGCAAAAGTCGGCGCCATTGTCGACAATGGGATCCCAAGAGCAAGTAGACTGTCTGCGTCTGCCCTGACCCGTTGTACAAAGTCGTAGTGACCTCAATCTTAACCTCATTTTCTTTTCCGCAAGAAATTAACCCACTGATATCCATTTTTGCGTTGTCGTAACCTTTTATACTTCTAGGTTTGTCTCCTCAATCCAAACTCTAGAAGTATTATGCAGTTTTAAGAATACGTCCAGCAGCTGATTAAAAAATTGCCTAATGAAAGCATTTTGTGGCTAGTATTAATAAAAAATTGATTATATACATCCCATGGCAACATACCGTTTCTATCAACTAATAAAATGGCCGGACCTGGTACTTTATTGCATTGCATATACAGTCCTAGTAGAAAGTGGATCACATCTATCCTTGTTACCGACAGTCACAATATTATTGGTGCTCGTATCAAAGTACCCAAGTACCCACTGCGTTCTTCGGTCTGGATTTTGGTGGCGAGTCTGCTTTGACGTCCAATGTTTACACATAAATACCGCTCCTGTTCATAATTTGAGTTTTGTGATTTCGACATTCTTAAGAGTGATGCATTCCTTCCTTCCGCCATCCGCTAAAATCCTATCTGCCTTGGACTCCACTCAATACGCTTGTACAGAACTCATTCCTCTATCTGGGGGCTTCGTGAATTTCATCTATCGCGGGACTCTCATCTCAGCTCTCCCTACAATTCCACCGACCGCCGAGATAATTCTTAAACATGCTGAGCCTTATGTTGCTGCCAATTCGGCTTGGGACTTTGCTATATCTCGCGTTGTAGGTTGTTTGTCAATAAAACTTGCCTTACATACTCATGTTCTCAGCACTATGAAGCTCTCATGCTTAGAGCCCTAAACGCGCTTCCTCGAACAAATTTGATGGATGATTCCGTGACTACACCCTTTTTTCACGACTATTTGACACAATGTGACACCGTGGTTCTGTCGAATTTCGCAGGATCTACTCAACTCCAATCATATCTCACTTCGCACGACCTTGGTGAAGTTGCAATCCACAGATTCGGATTATCATTAGGACAATGGATGAGACGATTTCACGAATGGGGCGCTGCTCCAGAGCAAAGCTCACTGCGCACGAAGATGAAAGGAAACTCCAAAATGGCTGAAATGAAATATAACATAACCTACGGTCGCTTGAAGGAGGCCATCACTAGGTTTCCAGCGATACTTCAGGAAAGTATTCCTGTTTTCGAGGAGTTAGCGCAACGACTCGAGACCGAAATGGCGACCGGAGAAGGCCAGCTGATACATGGCGATTTTGACTGTCGAAAGTGAGTCTTCGATTATGACAATGTGCTTCTATGTATTGACTTTGCATGGTTCAAGTGTTCTTATCTCGGATGGGCCTCTAACAGTCGGTTCCTGTCCCATCTCACTTTGTGTAATTGACTGGGAATTGTCACGCATTGGTTCAATAGCTTCTGATGTTGGCCAGATGTTGTCTGGCATCTATCTCCTCACGGTCTTCAACTCCTTCCAGGCTGGCCCAAAAATGATTTCCTCATTCATGCACGGTTATGGTCCAGTGACTGATGAACTTGCATTCCGTATCGCTTTGGATGTTGGTACGCAGTTGGTGTTGTGGCCATGCCAGCAGGCTGATAATTATGATGACCACCTTATTGAAATGTGTGTCGATATGGGACATAAAATTATTCTTCATGCTGAGAAACAGGCTAAGCCATGGTTCCGTGGTGGGGTGTTCGATAGCATTTTCTGTTTCATAGAATCTCACTGAATAAATGACGCTGCTTCAAAACGGAAATAAAATATACAGTAGAGCATCAATCGCGGATCCCGGAGGCAAGCCAGTTAGTAAAGAAAGATCACCATCCCTCTTCCTCGCAAATTTATTGGGTTTGGTTCTGGCACAGAGTCAGCATGATCTCGCACTGCTAGAGAACATTGGCTACTTGGTGAAGAATCGACCGCTCATGATGGGCAATTCAAAGGACGTGGGCGTTTGGGTAGATGCGAACAAATTGTTGAAGCTCTCCGTAGTTAAGGTTTCTGTGCTATAATGGCATATGTTGAGCTCCATCGGGTGTCAAAATAGCCCAATTGCTTTAGAAGTGAGCATCGCTTCCAAAGGGAAATGAAGAACACACACAAACAAGGGTCGTGCGGTGCTTTAAAACTTATTTAGAAAGATATGCAACTTCCTAATAAGTAAATTTGAATATGGATGTAGGTCTTCTAAAGTGTTCATGTACTGGCTAAGGGAACTGCGAGGGAGAATCCGAGCAGCAAAGACGATGGGGACCGATTTTAAAACCCATGGCAGCAGCATACAGCTAGAAACCCTCGTGGTGGTTCCGAGCCAGGAAACAGTGTATCAAACAAAGGGGAAAGACGATTAGAATCGAATTGAAGGGGCAAGGAACAGAAAGGAAAATGCCGGCGGGCCTGTAGTGGTGAAAAGAATGGTAATAAAACATACAGCCATGGAGTATACAGAAGATGAGAACAAAGGGTAAAAAGAAATAGCCGAAGAACGCCGGAGTGAGACATTTACTCAATCCTCGTCTTGCCCTCTTCCAAAAAGACGAGACGGGCATTGCTAATACCACGCTGGTGTCGTCTGGCAGGAAGCCAATTACCGATGATAGGATCCGAGCGTGCTTTGATGAGAGCATCCTGATATCCCTCAGCGCCAGCGACCGGCGTGTTCAGCTTGGGCCAATTCACCTATAGAAAACAGGGTCAGTGGGACATACTTTGGGTTTGTTAAGGACGGTAATGAGCTTACATAGAGCATGCCGTGGCCATGCACGAAACGGAAACAGTAGACCGCCACCAACAACCAGAAGATCGTGAACAAGCGAAGTGGCCAGACAGCGGCATCGGGCAATCGCCGTGTGAAAAGCGCTACCAAAACCATGAACACACTAGCAGCGAGAACATATGGAACTGACTGGATGACAAGTGGTCGTTGGTCAAGGAATAGCTGGATGTTCGCAAATGTTGAGTCCGATGGGAGATATGTGCCCAAAAATACATCGAACCCATCTTGTCGAGGGCCGTCCATAAAGTTGTTGCGTACATATCGCGTAATGGAGTTGTTCAAGTCTTGCAGCATGCCGGCCCGCGTACGCTTACCAGTCCGAGTGAAATCAGTCTTCAGGGCACCAGTACCGGAATAAGACTTGGAGACAACATCTGCGTTGTCTGCCCAGATATTCCGGAACAGGTTTTCAAACTCCTGGTCATCGTTGGCAGTCTCTCCGGGATGGAGAACGCCTGCATCCATAAGCTGCCGTGTAACCGCCCAGCGGCCGAGCATGCTCTGCACTACATTAGTGCGGTCCAGGCAATCCATACAATTTGTTCGGACAACGCTCGTTTGCGTAGAACGAGTATCCAACTGGCCACCAGCAGCACCGGGACTCTCCACTCCGCGGAAATAACCACCCTGGGTCAGCCCATCGTTCAGGCGGCCCATGAGCAACTCTGCGCGATGCCATTTGAGGCCCTTGGTCTCATTGTGGAAATCAAAGTACACATAATGCAGGCGGTCCATCTCTTTCTGCTGGAGCCCTGGTTCCAAAACATGCATCTTTTCAGGGGTGCGCTCATCAGCCTCGGTGCTTTCAGATGTGGAAGTAACTAATGTGCGAACCAGCTGCTCATATGCGCGCTTGACATTCTCCTCCCTCCCTTTCTGGTTCACGAGATTGACCATGTAATTTTCTCCATAGATGCGGATCTGTTCGGCGAAATGCTTCCGCGCAGCTTCGACGGAAGTCTCAACTTCACGGACCTGAAGCTTCGGTGTGTATTTGAGATCGTTAACTTCAGCCCAAAACACGGGGACACTACCTCGAGTTTGGACAAAAGAGTAGACTTGAAGGTCTTGTCCAGCTTTGCCACTGGTCATTGATTGGCCTCCACCAAACCCGGATAGTCCACCGGTCGAGTCATTCAAGATCACAATCTGCTCGGTCTCGTTGTAGTTTGAAACATTGCCTTGCTCGTCGATTCCGCGAGAGAAGTATCTTGTTCCGGCCCGGTGTCTAGATCGCCGGGTGATAAGCGCGAAGGTGAAGGATGTTGACTTCACTCGGGCAGGAGTAATGCGCATCATGCCGAACATCACTGGCAAGATATATGGGTCAGCCCCTGGTTGGGGACCATAGCGAATTCCACTTGTGTCATTTGTTCCAAGGCTAAAGTTGATCAGATCGGATTGAATGAAGCGATTCCAGAAGAAGCGGTCGTCTGCACTCTTCCACATCGGTACATTAGGGGCATTTTGTGACTGTCGCTGGAAATTATTGGTGATATCGAGGGAGTAGGAGAAGTACATGGGTCCCCTTCGAAGTAGGTCTTTCACCACTGTAAGATAGGCATCTTCGTCGGTGTCGTGTAGCGGCCGTTCTCGCATGGGGAGGAATTCTGTTCCGGCAACTTTGTAAACCATATGGCCGCGCAACCGTCCCATGGGCTGAGCTTTGGTGATAACAATGATGTATTTATCTGCGAGCGTCAGCGCAACCTCCTGAGTTTCTATTGCGAGCGCAATTACCAAGCTTCAACTTGAGGATTCCAAGAATTCCAGCAATACTTGAAATGCGCTTGGCACCTGGAAGGGGGCCATCGTTCAAGCGTAAATCACCAGTTGGTCGGTCGACTACTAGAGTGGGTGCCTGGCGTGATGATGGCGAAGTAAAGGCATAGTGGGAGGGCGACGCGTGTAGGTTGATATCCCGAAACGGGAGAATAGGAGGAGTCATAGTTTAGAAACAGGACCTCCTGAAATGAGTGATATGAGTTGATTACAAGAAAATATGAAAATGAAGAGACATAAGTAAATTCAAGTCTCCCGAGTCTCCAAACAGACACGGGAAGGTACAAAGTTACAGCGGGCCACTGTGGTCAGTACGCAGCCACACCGCCCCGCTGCTCCTGTGGCTGGGCCTTCCGTCATCTATTCCTGTCTGCCTTAAACTACGAGTTGAAGTGTCTTGAATCTTTAAATCTTTGTGCTCCATACCCTTTGGATCTTACGGTTTCTTTACTCTCCTACCGGTCTTAAGACCTTGAATCATATATCTCAGTCCCTTGACCCTTTCATCTTCCTTCCTACCCTCGCTCCCACACCCTCCATTCTCTCTCCTGATCATGGCTTCCAGGCAAGCAGCAGGAGCCCGCCCGGGCGCAAGATTTGCTCAGTTCAAGCTCGTCCTTCTTGGTATGTTCTGATGTTGCTCTGCTTTTTGTTCAACTTTGAATATATGACTGACATGCTGTGCTTATAGGAGAGTCCGCTGTCGGAAAGGTTTGGGATACCATTTGCGATCTTCTTTATCAGCCGCTGACTTGACCGCTATCTTCCAGAGTTCGCTAGTCCTCAGATTCGTTAAAGTGAGTCTTCGGCGATTGCCACATTACTTCCCGCGGCGAGCCGAACGTACATGGAATAATAAAATGCTAATCTCATGGTTCAGGACCAATTCGATGATTATCGCGAGTCGACGATCGGAGCCGCTTTCCTGACACAGACCATCTCCCTCGATGATACCACCACAGTCAAGTTCGAAATCTGGGATACCGCCGGCCAGGAGCGTTATAAGTCGTTGGCTCCCATGTACTATCGCAATGCCAACTGCGCTGTGGTTGTCTATGACATCACCCAAGCTGTAAGGTCCAGTCCTGCATCATATCTTTCATTTCATCGCCAGTATAGAAGCTAATGTTCATGAAACTACCACATAGTCGTCGCTGGACAAAGCCAAATCATGGGTAAAGGAACTCCAGCGCCAAGCGAATGAGAACATTGTGATCGCCCTGGCAGGTAACAAGCTTGATCTTGTCACAGAGAGCCCTGATAAGCGAGCAATCCAAGAGGCCGACGCCGAGGCCTACGCACGTGAAGCGGGCCTGCTTTTCTTCGAAACCTCTGCCAAGTCCTCGACGAACGTCAAGGAACTATTCACCGCCATCGCCAAGAAACTACCTCTGGATCAGGCCGGTCCCCGGAACTTGCGGGCGACCCCTCGACCCGGCGTTGACTTGCGACCAGAGGCCCCTGGAACCCAGGGTGCCGGTGCGTGCAATTGTTAAACAATTACCCGATCATACTCCCTCTTAGCCAGTGCGCCTTCGTCTCCCCCACCGTTTGAGAGAAGGCGCAGGCTACACATCCCAGCATCGTTTAACGGTGGTATAACTCTCTGACTTTCTATGATTTCGCCAATGTCATTTGATCGGACCCTGGCACCATTCCCTACTCGCTACGGAGCCGAGGGATAGACTCTCGGTTCATGATCAATCTAACCCTCTCGGATTTTTCTTTGCTTCTTTTGTCCTTGCTCAGCCTGCTCAAACGTGGCCTCACAAGTCCCCTGTTGGCAGAAGGATTTAACTTCCATAGGCCTACATGGAATTTGGCTTTAGACATGCTGCAGCTGGATCTGTCGGTGCTTTGATGGTGCTATTCCTTCTGTACTCCTTGTTCCTTCTCACCTGGCGTCTGCATCTGCTGTTTTTTTTTCCTTTCGTCCAATGTCTTGGGCTGAAGTCTTGATATTCCCGTTACCCTTGCCTCTCTCAGAATTCTTAGTTATGCTCAAATAATACATTTTCCTCACCTGTATGTACAGTGGAGACCTACAATATGTTAGTGGCGTAGGAAAACCAAAATACATAGGCACATCAACTCTATATACCTTGATTCCGAATACAGCCAGGAAATGTAGATGTCTTGTTACTTTGTTTTTTGAATCTATAAGTGTTGCTCGTGTCGATATATTCCTCGGTTGATGTTTAGAACTGAACCACACCCCCCCCCCTCTCCCCCAAACATTTAACCAGTGGTTAATATCCGCGAAAGGATGCCCCCATGTTATAGGCCAAGGCTATTTTATCTTTCATTACACTGAATCCAAAGCCCAGCTAGATATGTATACTTCTAATGTCAGTATGTACGGAAGTGGGCATGAAATGGCGCGCAAAGCCACTCTGACCGCCCGCAGGATTATCGGGGCGGATCGCAACTGAGCAACAAGTTCCCGTTTTCCTACTCATCCATCTTTCTGATCACCTTTAGCCACTAATTTCGGCGATTGTGCGGCTCGTCATGCTGCGCTCCTCGATTGCTCCGGGTCGGCAATTGCTGTCAAACCCTGTCCGCCAACGGATTCCATCGCAATGGCTGTCCAGAGCCGGTGCAAGCAACCGGCTGGCAGGTCAGGTAAAGAGAACCATATCCCTAAGCTTCTTGTCTCTTCATACTCACAATCACCACGCGTAGCGATTCTTCGCCGATTCTAAGCCCCCTACTACCGGTGGTCCGACACCAGCCTCCCCTTCCTCCGAATCCAGTGTCCCTCCCGAGACCATCTTGAAGGCCGCTGAACAAGGTATGACGACCCCCTCGTTCATCAATTACCATTGCGGCCTAGCCCACATGTCCTAATGCGATATTTTTTGCAGAATCTAAGCTTCCTCCCTCGCCTCCGGCAGCTGCTCCTCGCAAATCCGGTCGTTTCCGTCGGTTCTTGATTTATCTGATCCTCACATCCGGCTTTGCCTACGGTGGCAGCATCTTCCTGGCCTTGAAGTCTGATAACTTCCACGATTTCTTTACCGAGTACATTCCCTACGGTGAAGAATCCGTTCTTTACTTCGAGGAGCGCGACTTCTACCGCCGCTTCCCCAACGCCCTGAGACACCAAAACCGTCTCCCGGCTGCACCCCGAGAAGAGGGAAAGCCCGTCACAATCCCTGGCAAGAGCGGCCTGTCTTGGAAGCTTGCTGAAGAAGAGAAGGCCGACGCTGATGCTAAGAAGGCAGCTCACGAGAGCCAAATCAAGCCCGCGGCCGCCAAGCCCGAGGATCGGAGCGCTACCGTGATCAAGGCCAAGGAAGACACGGCCACGAAGCACAGCTCCAAGGAAACTAAGTCTGAGTCCGAGTCCGAGGCGAAGAAACCCGTCTCACTGGATGAGCCTAGAGAACCTGCTGTTGCTGCCAGCACCATTGAATTGCTCCAGTTGCGGGATGGTGACGACGGTGTTGTCCAGGATCTAGTTAAGACCTTCAACGACATCGTTACCGTCATTAGTGCCGATGAAAACTCCAGCAAATACTCTGCACCTGTCGCCAAGGCCAAGGGCGAGCTGGAGAAGATTGCCGAGAAGATCGCTGCTATCCGTAGCGAAGCTCGCAACACTGCCCAGGAAGAGCTTAACAAACTACATGCTACTTTTGATGAGTCTGCACGTGAATTGATGCGCCAATTTGAGGAAGTGCGCTCCACTGATGTTGCTTCATTCCGTGAAGAGTTCGAGGCCGAGCGCGAGAAGCTCGCCCACGCATACCAGCAGAAGGTCAACACCGAGCTTCGCCACGCTCAGGAGCTTGCTGAACAGCGTCTTCAGAATGAGCTTGTTGAGCAGGCGATCGAGCTCAACCGCAAGTATGTTCACGAGGTCAAGGGCCTGGTCGAACGCGAGCGTGAGGGTCGTTTGAGCAAGTTGACTGAGCTCACAGCCGACATTAATGAGCTTGAGAAGCTGACTGCTGGGTGGAGCGATGTTATCGATACCAATCTCAAGACTCAGCAGCTGCAGGTCGCCCTGGACGCAGTTCGCACTGTGGTCGAGCGTGCCGAAACCCCCCGTCCGTTTATCCGTGAGCTTGTGGCCGTGAAGGAGCTTGCTGCTGGTGATTCCGTCGTTGAGGCTGCCATCGCATCTATCAACCCCACCGCTTACCAACGTGGTATCCCCTCCACTACCCAGATCTTCGAGCGTTTCCGCCGAGTTGCAAGTGAAGTCCGCAAAGCTAGCCTGCTGCCCGAGGATGCCGGTGTGGCCAGCCACGCTGCTAGCCTTGTTCTGAGCAAAGTTATGTTCAAGAAGGATGCTTTGTCCGAGGGTGATGATGTCGAGAGCATTCTCGTGCGCACTGAGAGTTTGCTGCAGCAGGGCGATGTTGACGCTGCCGCTCGTGAAATGAACACCCTCCAGGGCTGGGCTAAGATTCTGAGCAAGGACTGGCTGGGTGATGTTCGCAAGGTTCTCGAAGTCAGACAGGCTCTCGAAGTAAGTTTTTGTTCGCCCTTCCGGTTGGGCAATTGGCAACAAATTCACTAACAACTTTCCTTTTAACAGGTCATCGAGGCCGAGGCCCGTCTGCAGTGCTTGCGGGTTGAGTAAGCGCATATTTTGAGCGAAGCTGAATTCATTTTCCCCTGTATATCCTCGTCTTTTACAGGAACTGTACCTTTAGTTGTACTTGTGCTTTAGACCCAAATGCTAGAACTTTCCCGTGTCTATTGACTCGTCTAAGGTGTGCAGCATGTAGCACCTGTACTCTAGATCTCAATGCATCTTTTGATCCTAAATTCAATGCCTAATAAGTTTGATGCTCAAGTCCTCCAGGGTTTCGTGCGCAGGTGGCTGCAAATAAAGTGATTACGTAACCTTGACTGACGCGCAGTCTGATCTACACTGGGGATAATGTTACGTCTTGCAGGCTAATCATGCAACATTGTCTTTAATTGCACTAGTGTTTGAAACCCTTGCCAACTTGACTGATCGCACCTATGCTTGTTTCTGCCCAAAGTATGCCTGTCTTTGTCTCGAACGTTGTCATCTAGCATTGTTGCCCTTCTCGCAGCGATGTCGCAACAACCGAACAAGCCCCTTGTACGATCTTCAATGTCTCCGGCGGATATACAAGACCGATCCTCGGGAACTGCACCGTCTTTGCTCCGATCCGATGGGGGCTCATTTCGCCAGACCCCGCCCCGACAGAACGACGACCGAGCAAGCGGGGAGTTGGAAGGTACTACACTGGGCAGCGGTTCCCGTGATGGAGATCGAAGAACACCGGGCCAGCGGAGGACCCAAAGCTCAAGTGGCTTCTTGCTCGACTCGTTACCTCGCCAGCGAAGCACCAAAGTTAGCCTGCACCGCCCTGTCCCGTCAGAACCTCCCCAGCCGAAGCGCAGCGTTCCCGAACCGGATATCGTGGTCCCCAAGAAACGCTCTAGATTTCCATGGAGCCGGCATAAGCACCGTGAATCCGAAGCGATGCCAGAGGATGCGGGTTCAGTTCCGATCGGTGCTCCGCAGGCTCCTACGCCTCCTGGTAGACAGCCCTCCGGAAGCTCCTCACAGCCCGAGGTACAAGAAGACAATGTGACACATTCAACTCCTGGGCTCGATAGGGATTCGATCCAGATCGTCAACCTAGCCTTGAACCTTAATGAATCTCGGAGAAGGACAGCTTCTGGAATACCCCCAGGCTCCGAGAGCCGAAGACCAATATCTGTCTCGCAACCTGCTGTTCCCACAGTAGACGACTATGCGTATTCCCCACGAGCGAGGAACTTCCAGCGCGATTCGCCGTATCGCAATTTTACTCAAGTCTCCGGTAATCGTTTGTCACAGGGGACACTGCCGAGCTTAGAGCGATCATCTGTTGTGGATTTGTTGCCTCGATCCGCGATTGAGGATCACAGGGCCTATGAATTCTCCGAAAGCACTTTGGCTCGTGCTGAGAGAGCACGCACTCATTTTGATTTATTTCATGAATATATGCGCCTCCTGCCTTCATTGCCACCTCTTCGAGATGCAGTCAAGGGTGACGCTGAGTTTACACCACGGAAACCCTACCGTGGCTATAACCCGCTTCAAATGATTCGCAACCGGAAAGTCAGATATCGTGAGAAATGCACCATCGATCTAGCCGCAGAAGGATGGCATGACGTTGAAAGAGTCCACCAATGGATCAATGAGGTCGAGCAAAAATACAGCCAAAGAGAGTACGACCCGCTAGATTGCTTAAAGCTGCCACCTTTCCAACAAGGTCGTCGCCATGTATCTGTGGGGGAACATGAAGATATAGATATGATGCCTACCTCTCCGGGATCAAGCTTGCGGCGAGTCAGCCGAACCAGCAGCATGAAGGCCCGTCGACCACGTCTTGATTGGAAGACCTCGCCAGCAGAGCTTCTGGCCGATGCCGCCTGGCTGGAATATGGTGTCAACAAGACGAAGGTAGTCGACAAGGATGGCTTTAAACTCTACCCCGATTCTACCAAACTAGTTAGCATGGACACAAGCGACAACTTTGGGACGCCTCATAAGCAACAGCGCCTTCCGGTTGAAGTGGCAGATCCTAGGGAGGCACGTTCGTCACCGCACACTTCTGTGTCCAGCTCTCACCCTGCATTGGCGCAAGAATTTAAGAGTGTTCGCCGCGGGCGGCACAAGCACAAATTTCGAAGTCATTCACACAGCTTACGCAGTCGTAGTGCTTCCAGCAAACGAAAGCCGTCACGATGGGATCATGTCAAAATGCGTTCGGGCAGCGTCTCGAGCTCTTCAAGCTCAGATACCCGCCCTTCCGTCGATGAAAAGCCTCGCATGTCTCGTGAGAATATCCGCGACCATGTTCAACGATTCGTGGAACACGCACACTCCGGATCTCGGACATCCCGCGCCAAATCTCCGGCTGTTCGTAACGATGAATATGGTCGGGGAAGGACACCACAACCAACCGAGCCGTTATCGGTCAACACGAAGCAATCCCGCAAGCACAGAAAAGGTTCTTTCTCGTCGGCAGGCAGTCTTGATGACCGGCACGATCCCCGTATGTCCCTGGAAGGCATGGATAGCACTGCGCCTAACTCTCCCACTCGCGTTGGCTACTTCCCGAGTATAGCAGTAAACCTGTCACCCCCATCAAGTCGGTCTCCCTCGCCCGCAAAGAAGGGTCTCCGTCATAAAATTGTTTCACGCCACGAGCGCAGCAAGAGCAAACACGCAGAGCGAGAGCGTGAAGATGAATTGCCGGAACCTGATACTTTGCGTCAGCGAAATCTGACGGCGCCTGCACAGACGGAGGGTGCGTCCAAGCTCGAGCCGAGTCCTCTTCCTGACGTTGTATCGTCATCCTATAATGATGATCAAGGCACGCAGGAAGGCAATCGGGTAGATGGACATCGGTCCCGTAAAGGGCCCCATCTTCCCGAATCAAAGCTACGAGGAATATTTAAGGGACCAGGTCGCATAGCAGAAATCGTGGGCAATGAGGTCTCTAAGGTCGGAGATCTCATCCTGAAGAAAGACGCAGATCCTGAATCTCGGAAATCATCGTCCGCCACAACTTTTGCATCAGATGATAGCGATTCTGATGAAGAATCTAGAGGCGACAAAAAGTCTGGCTCCAAAGGCCTTCTGCGGCGCCTGCCAACATTTACGGATGAGCCTGGGCGACTGACTCGCAGAAATTCCGAGAAGAACTCATCCCGGAACTTCATTCCCTCTCTGCCGACCTTCACATCACCCCTGCGGCAAGACGAACGAAGTGAAGCAGCAGAGATGACTGATTTCAGCAGTCCTCGCGAACGAGTTTCCTCTCCAAGAAATTATGGTTCTCGTGATTCTCCCAAGAAGTTCTCGCTGCCACGCGCCAAAACGCTTGATTTCAGCCCTTCTATGTACACGGGACGGACAAAGCACCACGAGATTAAAGACCCTTCCGTCCCTTTCAGCTTAACACGGCCTCCTGTCACTGGGCTCGCCAACGCTCGAGCATCACCAGGGCTTTCCCCGGAGGGAAGACGCACAGGTCTTTCAGGTGCCAGTCGCGCCTGGAGTATATCTGGGCGCAGTATCCACACCTTGATTGACACTGGCGTACCTGGTAAGCCCGAAGTAGAGCGCACACGGGCTCTTCTATTGTCATCGGGGATTAAAGCGCGAGAGATTACTCGCCGAGCCCACCCTCCCCGTGAACAAGCTCCTAACTGGCTTCAAAACTCCTTGGGCCCTGGTGCATCTGTTCCACGAGTGACGCGGGCCAGCGAGTTCGACCTCGCTGCTCAATGCCTCCTCCAGCGTTTCGAGCACACCCAACAATCGTTCCAACAATCCATGCATCAATTCTCCACCTCCACCTCATTGCCTCTCCGATCCCAGCTGAGGAACCTGGAAAACCTAATCAACAATTCTCTGGCTCCTCGCGTCCGAGCCACGGCAAATGACGCCGAGGATTTATGTGTCCAGCTCAACACCACCAGCACACTTGCTGTTAAGCAATTGAGTGATGCCCTTGACAAAGGCCTTCGTAAGCGTCGCCGTCGATTGCGGTGGATCCGTCGCACTGGGTTCATGGTTTTGGAATGGGCCTTGGTTGCTATGCTGTGGTGGGTGTGGCTTATTGTCATGGGTTTCAAGCTTGTGCGTGGTGTCTTCCGGGGTGCTTTCACTGGTATCCGATGGGTCTTGTGGCTTTGATTACAGACTCCATGTGCATATCTCTTCTTGATTCTTTCTTTTCCCCACTACCTTGGGGGGCTTTGCTATTTACATTACTGATTTTTAACTCCATCGCCTCTATTGGCGTGCATATACCCTTGCAGTGAGCTTGTTATACCCGCTGTCTTCTTTTCTACTTCACCATATTATGATTTAATGGAGCGTTACATCTATTTCAAGTGATCCACATAATATTTTGTCTTCACCTTTTGTACATAATTCACCTGTCCCGTCTCTGTTCCAATGCATTTCTTTGCATTCAAACAATGCTCATTCGCGTCTTTGATGGCACCTGTCCACTGCTTGCCTTTCAGCCCGCGGGAGGTGACATGGGCATAATACAAGATGATATTCCCCTGCAAGCAACCGGGGTCGACAATGAATGACTCGAACCCTTTGGAATAAAACGATTCGCTCTTCTTTGTTTGGCGCTGTTATTTTACTCTTTGGATATTTCAGACCAATATCTTCTTTGATCCAAAGACTTGAAAGTGTGCAGGCATACGCACCTCTTTATTCTCTTTCTCTTGCCTATGCTTAAACAATGGCACCTTCACTATATAGAAAGGAACAAGAAGCATAAATACCTGGAGATCTCCGTTAGGTTCAATCAACTCTCACATATTTTGACACGCAGCATTTCTTTCAAGAAACATACCGATCCTCCCTCAGGTACATTTTTTCACAATATATCGCTCATCTTATACACCGAAAATGTCCCCAACAGGTAACCAGTTTCCCACTAACTCCTCCAGCCCAGTACAACCCCATCTAAGCCGCTTCTACAAGGAGGCCAGCACCAGCCGGTGGCAACTAGATGGCCTCTTCCAGACATTCTTGGAGGACAGACCAGCCGACACCATGCTTGCCGTTCAGGAACGCCGCCTTCTCATTTCCTGGGACCTCCAGGCCATCTATTACTTGAGGAGATGCTTGAGGACATGGATTCAGGACAAGATCCCCGGCGACGCCATTGGTGCATTCCTCGTGACAGTCTTGTACGAACAAGACTTTCATCTGGATTACTTACTGACTATGATGGTTCGGGATGAACAAACCCAGCTACACATCGCTCGTCGTCTGTTGGCATTCTACCAAATCCGAGACGAAGCAGGAACCCCCGTCTGGGATAATGTCGCCGTCTATTCCGAAGACACCCACCAGAATCCACCAGCTCTTCAGAGAAAGAGTGTTGCTGGAAGCTCCGCTATTACCAGGAAGGAGCTTCCACATCGCATCCCTACACCGCCGCCTGCTGATCCGAGATGGCCCCTCTTCATGAGTGCGCTTAGCGCCCCGGAGATTGAAGACCTCATGGACAAGTTAGACGATGATCAGTATCCAGACGAAGATCTGGCCCCCTTGTTCACCGGTGTGAGTGAGGAAGATATTCTCATCATCCAGGCGTTCCGCAGATTCAATCTCCACAAGAATGATTTCTCTAAGGACCTCCCTCTCCCTGAATCTGGGGCCGATCGGATTGAAGATATATCCAAGCAGACTAACACATCACAGGATAAACCCCTCCCTTCCCTTCCTATGATTCTTCGGAAGCCTCTCCCAACCCTACCCACTGACAAGGCTATTCCCCGTAAAGCCCTCCCCCTCCCACCCCTTTCACGCCCCTCAAGCCCGAACCCCTCATCTGTGCGTGTGTCGACTTTCACATCGGAGAAGAAGAAGTTTAGAGTCCGATGGGCGGACTGTGTGCCAAGCGAACATGCTAATATTGAACAGGGAAAGGGTAAGGCTGACCTACGTTCGTCTGCGGCAGCTCGTTCAAAGCCTTCCCTTAACCTCAATAAACCAAATGCTCCTGGTCCGTCTGACACTGTTTATGCTTATATTCACAGTCCTTGGCATTATAATGTTCCCCCACCCCCTCCTAAGCTAAAGAAAAAGGCAGGAGTCGAGGACTTGCGCCAGGCTCGAGAGCGTGGTGATTGAATGACTGAGAGATGTTGAGTCGATACATTAGGGTTAGGCTAGAGTTCTGAATCTATACTTGTCGGGATTAATAATCAATACATGTCTTCTGTTGTATCGGGAAGCCTATCTTGAACATACGAACTTGGGAATTTGGCAGGGTATATATTTTGGTCCTGGTGTTCGAGACCTTTTTATCCCAATAATGGTTTGCAACGATAACACTGGTCCTTTGTTTTGTTTTTGTGTTGGATATATTCTTGTCTCATGAACTGGATTCTTTAAATGTACAACGCTCGAAAGAACAATTTAAAGAAAAATATATTGAAAGAATAATGTATTTGTTCAGACAGGAGAGTAGAAAGTAGTATCTTGATCTTGAAATACAGGTCCCAGAAAGTCACAATGTGATATAGTGCCATGCGTAAATAGTACAGGGGGGAGTTGTTGATGATGGAAGAAGCAGCAGGGATTGAAAGCAAAATATGCTGCTTCTGAGCTCCAACAAGAGCCAATGCCAGGCACTGCCTGGCTTGGGTTGTTAGAGTAGTCGGAGTGGGTGGGGGTTTATTACATATTTTATCGTTTATTTCTTGTGTCTGTCGGCCTGGGCCTTCAGGTACTTGGCAATGAGTTCCTTTCTGTAAGAGAAGCCGGTTAGCAATGGACACTGTATTCAGAGAAGTAATTCCGGTTAAAACATACTGCATGTGAGGAGGAGCCTTTTCGTAGTGGCTGAACTCCATGGTGTATTCACCCTTGCCCTGAGTAGCGGCACGCAGGTTACTACTGAAGCCGAACATGCCGTTCAGACTGCAGTCAGCGTAGACAGTGAACTCGTCAACACCGGTCTCGGTGTCGTTGATAGTGGCACCGCGCTTGTTCAGCAGGCCGATGACATCACCCTGGAACTCAGTGGGAGCGGTCACGACCGTCTTCATCAGAGGCTCCAGAACAGAGGGCTGACTTTCTGCGAAAGCCTTGCGGAACGCCTGCTGGGTGGCGTTCTTGAAGGACATTTCGGAAGAATCAGTCATGTGGGTGGCACCGTCGTTGATGACCATGCGAGTGCCGAGAACCTTGTGGCCGATCAGAGGACCCTTGTCACAAGAGAGGTTGAAACCCTTCTCGCAAGCGTACAGGAACTTCTCCGAAATGCTGCCTCCAATAACCTGCTGCTCGAACTTGTTCTCCTCGAGGACACCGGTAGGCTCCATGAATCCCATAACACGGGCGAATTCACCAGGTCCACCGGACTGCTTCTTGAGCAGGTGGTCGAACTCAACGCGGTTGCCAATGGTTTCACGGTAGGCGACCTGGGGTTGACCGGTCTCGCAATCGACCCGGTACTCACGACGCATACGCTCGACGTAGATGTCAAGGTGGAGTTCACCCATTCCGGAGATAATGGTCTGGTCACTTTCGCTATCGTAGGATACTCGGAAGGTTGGGTCCTCTCTCTGGAAGCGGGCCATGGCCTTGGAGAAGTTGGCACCGTCCTTGCTCTGCTTGGGCTTGATAGAGAGCGAAATGACGGGCTCGGGAACGAACATGGAGGACATGCTGTAGCCGAGAGTTCCATCCGTGAAGGTGTCACCAGATGCACACTCAATACCGAACACGGCACAGATCTCACCAGCGCCGATCTCGCTGACTTCTTCCATGTCGTTGGAGTGCATGCGGACGATACGGGGAACCTTGACCTTTTTGCTGTTGCGAGCGTTGAAGACGTTGGCGCCCTTGCGGAGAGTACCCTGGTAGACGCGGATGTAGGTCAATTGACCGAAGTTGCTCTCTTCCAGCTTGAAGGCCAGACCAACAAAGGGAAGAGAGTTATAGGGGACAAGCTTGACAGACGCTTCGTCACGCTTCTGGTCAAGGGCCAGGTTCTCAACCTCAGCGGGGTTGGGAAGGAAGTCAACAACACCGTCTAGCATGGGCTGAACTGACTTGTTAGCCAAAGCAGATCCCATGAAGACAGGGGTGAACTTCAAGCCAATAGTAGCACGGCGGATGGCGGCTCTGATCTGATCCTCGCTGGGAATGACCTCTTCCAAGAACATCTCCGCGATCTCATCGTCGACATCGGCAAGAGTCTCAATGAGCATGGTGCGACGCTCCTCGGCAATGGCCTTGACCTTCTCGGGAATTTCATCCTTCTCCATGATCTCCTCACCACTCTCGCCAACGTTGTATAGAGCCTTCATGCGGATCAAATCAACGACACCCTCGAACTCATCCTCGGCACCGATGGGGACCTGAACAGCAGCGGCGGGGATCTTAAGCTTAGTGTTGATCTGGTCAACCGCCTTGAAGGGGTTAGCACCCATACGGTCCATCTTGTTCACGAATGAGATACGAGGAACGTTGTAGCGGCGCATTTGGCGATCGACGGTAATCGTTTGGGACTGGACACCTGAGACAGCACACAGAATCATGACAGCGCCGTCCAGAACGCGCAGCGCTCTCTCGACCTCGATGGTGAAATCAATGTGACCGGGGGTATCAATCAAGTTAAGGTGGTACTTCTGGTCAACACCCTCCTTATCCTTCTTAACCCAGTCACAGAAAGTGGCCGCGGACTGGATGGTAATACCCTTCTCACGTTCCAAGTCCATGGAGTCCATCTTGGCACCGACGCTGTCACGCCCGCGGACCTCGTGGATAGCCTTGATACGACCAGTGTAGAAAAGAACTCGCTCGGTACAGGTGGTTTTACCGCTGTCGATATGGGCCTGTGCAGGAAGACTTCATTAGACAAGAACAAAAAGCAGGAACGAGGCAATCGGGATATATTACGTACCGCAATACCGATGTTACGACACATGTTAAGACGAGCGGCCTCGACCGGATCGAGACTGTCGATAATGGCGGCTTGGGACAGACTCGCCGGGTCGGCCTTAGCAGCCTCAAGACTAATAACAACATTAGAAAGAGTAAAATAAAAGGGATCGGTCCGACGAGAATCCTTACACCGCAGAAGCAACAGCAGAGGCATTTCGGCGCTGGTCCCATTGTCCCAACTTCGACTGATAAGCCGGCGTAACAGCGGCGGACCGGAACGCGGCCGTAGAAGCGCATCGTTGGCGCAGAAGAGTCTGGGGTTGGAAACGAGCTGATCTGGTCAAACCAGACACTGCGCGGGATTGTAACCGTGCAAGAGAAGGAGACCGCATGGTGATGATCCAACCACACCAGAATTGATATGATCAACGCGAAATTGAATGTTTAGTTGGCTCCCCGAAAAAAAAGTTCGGGGAAGCCAGGAACGCGTCACGTGATTATTTACATCGACCCATCAGAGCCGGGAGATTACCATTGGGTGGATGGATAACTATAAAATGAGATATCAACATTGAAATCGGCGATATCTTGGTTGTTTGAGGGCTTGAGTATGGTGTCAAGCCATTGTTTGGAGCAAACTGCGCGTATATCCATAGATACTGGCAGAACAATAAAGACAGGACTGGAGATCATGATATGAGTTGAATTGAAACATGAAGACCTAATAAACTTGATTGCCACACTAATATACAAGAAAAATACACAAGCGCCGTGGTACCCAACCACTGTCTGGTTTTGAAACAAGAATGCAAAAGTATGCCGCAGATCCGAGTTCCGCGACGACAAGTCGTGTATCCAAGAGATTTAAAGACGGCCTGGGTATCGAGTGCACATTTGTATGCCTGGAAATATTGCCAATATCTCAGATTGTTCGAGTAAAGGCTGCCGCGGAAGGATAAAGCGATGCACGCTGTCGGAGAAATTGACGAAAAGCGACGACTCTATTTCCCCTGCCGTTGCTTGTGCTTGGGGTTCTTCGAGCTAAAAGAACAACGAAACAACATGTTAAAACTGAACGGTCTCAAGCACAGCCTTCGATGGCATAGGGTAATCACAACTCACCAGATGATGTAGACACGGCCTTTGCGGTGAACGGGCTGTTCAGTAGTTAGTATTAGGTAAACATAATTTCCTAACCATTCCAACATGAACATATTCAATATGTCATATCATACCTTGCAGCCATCGCACAGTCTCTTCACAGAAGACCGAGTCTTCATTCCCCGAACCTGCTCCACCTGTCTAGCAGATCCATTTGCCACAGCCACAGCATTGCCGGAATTTGCTTGTGCACGGAGCCTCGTTAGGCTGTTGCGAATCATGTGCGAGAAAGGCCGTAATGAAGCGGTCCGGGTAGTCACAGAGGGGAGGAATTGGCGGAGAGCCCCGGAGGAGGCACCGAAGACGGAGCGGAGGGAGAACATGGTGGCAGTTTTCGGATTTGGTCTATCCCCACAGAAGGTGATCAATTGGAGGCTGCGCCTCGAGTATCACCTTATGAAGAACAAGAGGTATTGGGGTGCGGTGCGAGGTTGATGTTTGGCTCCAAAGGTTCTCTCGTGTTGCGATCGCAGATGTTGGCCGGAGCTTCTGTATCGCCGGTGGGCCGAGGGGGTGGCCGCTGTGATTGGTCGGGTTTGCACTACAAGTATAAGGGCATGGGAAACAGGAAGATAGTGCGAAAGTGCGTATGTATTTATTTAGAGATTCGATAGACAAGTCGGTTTTGTTTATTGAGATTGTTTAGGGATGCTAGCCGGAATATATCTGCTGGGCCGAAATGAAGATCTGATCGTCAAGACAGTAATTGTGCACGAATGCAACCGACATTTGAGGATATTTGTACCTATGCAAGTATGTGGTAAGGACCCCGAAAGCAGACTATATGACCTATGATACAGAGGGTCTAACAAAATGAACCAAACGCCAAACAAGAGACAAAACTAGGCCTGGACCTTAAACCGCTTAAACCACAACAAGCTATGAATAATGAATCTTCTCGTTACCCACCATCTCTTCTTTTGCGATTCTAAGAGCGCAAGAAGGTCTTGTAAGTGGGAGAGTCAGTGTGCTCACTAAACGGATAGCCCAGATCCCGAAGGAATGCCTCCAAGTCCTCCTTCTCAGGCGACGGGCACTGGATTCCAGCCAGAACCTTGCCCACATCACCGCCATAGTTGCGGTAATGGAACAAAGAGATGTTCTGTTCAGGACGGAGGGTGGTGAGGAACTTTGCGAGAGCACCTGGACGCTCGGGGAACTCGAACATGAAGATACGCTCATCGGCGACCTCGCAGCGGCCGCCGACGAGGAAGCGCACATGACGCTTGGCAAGTTCATCATCACTCAAGTCCCGGCAGCTCATGCCGCCCTTCTCTAGCTCTGCCATGATCTTGGCCAGGTCTTCGCGGCCAGTAGAGGCAGATAGCGAGATACCCATCAGCACATCGGCCGAGTCTTCGCGGGCATAGCGGTAGTTGAACGCGGTAACAGCGTGGGGCAGAACAACCTCAACGAGTTTGGCGAATGCACCGGGCTTCTCGGGGATCTTCACGCTAAGGAGTGCCTCCTTCTTCTCGCCAAGGGCAGCGCGCTCGGCAACAAACCGGAGACGATCGAAGTCCATGTTGGCACCGGAGGTAATGGCAATGAGCTCGCGGTTGGGGTCAGGGCTGGGGTTCTTGGCAATGTACTTCTTGAGTCCGGCAAGAGCGAGAGCGCCGGCGGGCTCGACGATGGACCGGGTATCCTCGAAAGCGTCCTTGATGGCCGCGCAGGTCTCGTCGGTGGACACCTGGATGACATCGTCGATGACCTCGCGGCTAAGACGCCAAGTTTCCTCACCAACAGACTTGACTGCTGCACCGTCCGCAAAGAGGCCAACCTCCTTGAGGAAGACTCGGTTACCCGCATCGAGGGACTGAGCCATAGCGTTAGCATCGTAAGCCTCGACACCGATGACCTTCACCTGGGGTGCGATGCGCTTGAGGTAAACTCCAATGCCGGCAATCAGACCACCTCCACCAACAGCGCAGAAGACTGCCTCGAGCTTGTCCAAGTTTGCCTGGCGTAAAAGCTCCATACCGATGGTACCTTGACCAGCAATAACATAAGGGTCGTCGAACGGTGGGATGTTTGTCAGACTATGCTGCTTCTCCAATCGGTGGGCCTCATCCTTGGCAGCATCAAAGTCCATTCCGTGAAGAACCACACTGCCTCCCAAGCGAGCAACGTTCAGGTGTTTAATGGCCGGGGTGCCGGAGGGCATCACGATGGTAGCGGGGATTCTCAGCTTGCGGGCAGAAAAGGCCACACCTTGAGCGTGGTTTCCTATATTGAGTGAGTAAGAATCACTTCCAGCTTGTCTCATCTATCAGGTCTAGACTCACCAGCAGAGCAAGCAATAACGCCCTTCCAACGCTGCTCATTGTTCAAATGAGCCATCTTGTTGTATGCACCACGGAGCTTGAAGCTGAACACTGGAAGCAGATCCTCACGCTTGAGAAGGACCCGGCTTTTCAGCCGGGCACTCAGGTTGACAGCATGGGTAAGAGGGCTCTCTTCAATAACATCGTAAACTCGTGACGTCAAAATCAACCGGAGATACTAGAATTGCGGGGCAATGTTAGAATTTGAAAATCTGTGGGAATTGCAAAGCTTGAATTACATCTGGGTAGCCGTTGGGAAGCAGGAAGGCTTCAGGGATTCCCCAATTAGGAGGCAAGCCGGGGGTTCTCTGCTCGCGTTCAGAGGGCGGCGTCGGAGCGGCGGTATACTCGGTCAACGCAAGCCCACTCATCTTGGGGGTGACGGGCGTCGTGACGCCGTTGGAAGTCTCGTCAGACATGATACGTTCAGGTTGATTTCTGCCAAACGATGGAGACAATCAATCCCAATTTTGATGAGAAAGAACTTGACAAGTCGGCAAATTCTAAACTGTGACTCTTTTTTCTTGCAGAGGCGGGACCGGTGATCGGAGAACCTTATGTCATCAACCCCGACTGCTAGCCCTAAATAAAGCTTGATTTGGGGGATTTAGGAGTGTTGAAGGGATGAAATAAAGTATATGAGATCAAAGTAAATATTAAATTTTCACACAGATGTGAAATTGTGTAACCCTTAGACTAAATAACTGAAGAGAACGTTGGGTAGCAGCCCTGGAGGTATAGGTACAGGTAGGACGTCCATAGTAGATAGCGGTCAACAATGAGGGGCTAATTGTACTTGTTTTGCGTTTTTTATTCTATTTCATTTTAGGCCAATCATAAAATAAAAACACTTATGAATAGAAGGATTTAAGAAAAAAAAAATATAAAGCCTAATGTCCTTGTAGCGTGGTAAAGACAGTCCTAGATGTAGTACTCTCCAGCCCAGGAGGGGTTACATAACCCGATATGTTTGAAAACTTGGCGTCATACCACAGCTCGACCCTGTGCGCCCCAGCATCTTGAGGAGTCTATTCCAACATCGAAAATTTGCAATTCCTCGCCGAATTTAATCCTTGCCACTACACAACCCGTTTATAAGCGTCGACCAAATATCCCCGACTCAAAACCTCCGCATCCCGTGGACGCGATTGGACTCCGCACGACCACTGTCATCATACCCGACCACGATCAACTTCACGATGAATCGGGAACCCGTGCCTTCGTCTTTTGACGAGGGAAACCCGTATGTATCACACATTATCCGCATATCCCGCAAGCAGCACCGGAAATTCCGCGGAGAAAATGGAAGGCTCATCTGCTAACCCTCGACGTCCTACAGTCAATTTACAGAAGAGACCGGCGTCGAAAAATTCACACGGCGCCTCAAAGAAGAGCCGCTCGTTCCACTTGGTACGAAATCCCCCTAGCACACGGCCTCACGTTCTCCCTCGGGATTTCCTTCCGAATATTAAACAAACTAATACATACTACCATAGGATGCGCCGCAACATGTTATGCCCTCTACCGCGCCTACCGGTCGATGAAATCCGGCGACTCGGTTGAAATGAACCGAATGTTCCGCGCCCGTATCTACGCACAAGCCTTCACACTAGTCGCGCTAGTCGCCGGTGGAATGTACTTCAAGACGGAACGGCAACAGCGCCGGGAATTCGACCAGGCCGTGGAAGTTCGGAAGAAGCAAGAAAAGCGTGACGCGTGGTTGCGCGAGCTGGAGATTCGTGATAAGGAGGATCGTGAGTGGAGGGAGCGTCACGCTTCTATTGAGGCTGCGGCTAAGGAGGTCGGGAATAAACCGGCGCCACCCAAGGAGTCTGAAGCAGCGCGGTCATCGATTGAACCTGCCGACGAGAAGTCTATCGGGATTGTGGATGCTGTGAAGGCTCTTATTTCACGGGACTGATGGCATGCGCTCTGTAAGATAGGAGAGATTCGTTTTCCTTTTTTTGTACATATGCATCGAAATTCTCCAATCGTATTTGGATTTTCAACTGATGAATTCTGCTATTCTGGAATGTGTAAGCACAAGTGGCAGAAGTACGATTACCTCATTTGCTTGTCATATTTAACTATCTGGGGTCGTACTGTATACGGGAAGTCCGACGATCGACATGCCGAGGTTGAAATGTCCCAGTTGATCCGCACCAAACAAGCACGGCACTAGCACAACAAGGTAAACCACCTTCTTGGCAGCATACTGGAAACCGAAAAAACCAGCATGGGTGATTTTGGATCAGCATGGCCGGAGTTATTTGCTTGGCCGAGGCTTTCATGTGAGATCGACAAGGCTAGCGCCGTGCGGCAACCTAACATATGATGCTTAGGGCATATTCGGAACGGGAGGGCCGTCAAGTGCATTGAGTGTGTTTTTGAAATGACATATTGAATCCTTAAGGGTATAGGAAAGTACAAGATGAATGCGCTTTTCATCTTGAAGACTAATATGGTCAGATGTATGGAGGAAGGAGATGATCCAAAGGCGGGGAAGTCGAGCTACTCGACACCAAACCCTAACTTGGAAACCCCCAGGGTCTATCAGAATGATCCTGCGTCAAACTTTTCAGTCCCTGGTCCGAGACTCCACCCTTCATCCAGCCTAAGTCTTGCTAATCTTCTCCAATGCATATTCTTTCCCGAGTTATAACACCATGACGTGTGGAGCACAAGCTAGACGCCCTATGGGCCGTCTCTCACGAGAGTATAAAGGCCTATGGTACTCCCCTATTACCGTAGATCTCGTTGTCTAAACTTTTCCTCTATACCCCTGTCAAAAAGACATTACATATACCGACCTGTATACGTAATTACCCAGCAAAAAAAGAACCGTTCCCACATTCAGAATGCTGTCCTGGATCTACCCATTGCGAATCGTGCAGGCTATCCTGTCCCTAGCCACAATTGGTCTTACTGCATATGGTTTGTTTTACGGTGCATGACGTCTATCAGGACAACGCTAACTCTATCTAGAAATCGCCTCTCTGTACGACAAATGGTCCTACTCAAATGTAGTCTACTACATGCTCTTCAACGGCTGCTGGACAACAGCCATCGCAGTCCCATACTTGGGCCTCGCACCCCTACGCTTCCCTCGCTTCTCACATGAGATCGCCATTCCTCTCATCGAGCTGCTCACCGGTGGCCTCTGGCTCAGCGGCTGGATCGCCTTGGCTGTCATGATTCCTTCGCCTGGCGCATGTCACTACGCCAGCTGTCACGCCCTCCAGGCCTTGATTGTCGTCGGGGCTATCCAATGGTAATAACGAATGTCCAAGTATTAATGCACACATACATTCTCTAATACATTGTTCTAAACAGGGCTACTTTCGTTGTTACAAACACCTTCGCCATCCTAGACCTGAAGAACTCACGCCGCAACGCGAAGAACCACCGCGACGATGCTGCCCCCGAGATGACTAGTGTTGATGCTAATCCTACTGGCAATACGACCACTCCCGCCACCGCCGATGCCGCTGTCTAGATGGGTGTGTCCATACCCTGAGGATTCGTTTTACCAATGACACTTGCACAACTTGCAAGATATGATACGCACGCGGTCGAGTTTCCGTTTCCTAAATGAAAGTGATACCCCACTTGGTTGATTTGATGAACATATGCCCGACCCTGTTTATATGCCAGGATTTCTTGATAATGCCAGACATGGTCTGGTCATGTATCGAACTAATGTTAATACAATAATCTGTTCCTACGCTCTTTCTCTCATCCATTCCCGAGGGTGCAACTTAACTTATAGCACCGTCAAAAGCAATTGAACCATATTAAATTTGAAATTATTAATCATGAATGTATGAATGTACTCTAGATTAAAATGTATAACCAACAAAAATCTCAAAACGAACGTAAAACAACCGAAGATACCCCGGAAATATATGCATTTTTGCTCAACCGATATCCTTTCCAGCCACCTGTTATACTGATTTCATCGGCCCCCTTTGGCCAGATTGGTTCATTTCAGCGTGGAATGCCAGCACCTCGTTGTACCTAGAAAAGGTCAGCAGAATGTCCTGAGATGCGTCAACATGCACTGCATTCAGGACTGACATGATGGTCTTCCAGATATCGGCTGGGAGATTTGCTTCCAGGAAGGCCCAGTCAAATGCTTCCCTTGCGACGGGTTCGTCGTTGGGGTCGTGGTATGGTTCGAGATATGGGAATGCGAGGGCTTCTGTTGCAGATATTCGTACTTGAGGGTCAAATTCAAGCATTTTGTCGATCAATACCGCCGCTGATGTTGTTAATATTTGATTTCTTGCAGAATAGCTTGAAACGTACCATCTGCGTTGGCGTTGGGGATGAGCTGTGATATTGGCTTGCGGTCTCGGTTTGGGAGTGAGTTGATAAAGTTCAATGTCTGCGGAGAAATAAGAAGAAATCAGGAGACCCATTTTCTTTCAAAAAGACATGTTCTCAACTACTAACATTTTCACTTGTAATATTGTTAATGACTTCCTCGGGGGGATTCCCAAGTAGATCGGTGATAACACAAAACTGGTTGATGTGATTCGTTCCGGGGAACAAAGGCTCGCCCAGAAGTAATTCAGCGAAGATGCACCCGGCACTCCATATATCGACTTTTTCGTTATACTTTCGCCATGTAAGCATGATCTCCGGGGCACGGTAGTACCTCGTCGAGACATAGCCTGTCATATGGGGTTCTTGGATGCGGGCCAGGCCAAAGTCGCATATTCTCAGGTCGCAGTTCTCATTCACAAGAATGTTGCTTGGCTTTAGATCTCGGTGGATGACACCGGCTGAGTGAAGATATTTTAGACCACGCTGGAATTGTTGATGGTCAGAAGATCGTGCTTGCTGTGGGGTTGGTATAGATGATACCAACCATTATTTGATACATGAAGTATTGGGCAAATTGGTCTTCGACTCTTTTCGCTTTCAAAATTGTACCAAGGTCGGTTGCCATAAGTTCAGTCACAATGTATCTAAAGTTATTAGTACTTTCAATGCACGTAAAGAGAGTGTAGTCTCTTCGTACATGTCTTCAGAGGGAGAAATGAACATGTCAGTTAGGTTGATGATCTGGCGGACAATTAGACAGTTGTTTAATACTAGCTGTGGATATACTCACGTTTTCATGTCGCAACTGTCTCAATAATTTTATTTCTCGAAACATGTGTCTTGCAATGGCTGGTGTCTTGAAAGGTTCCGCGAGTTTCTTCACGGCGACAGTCCGATGAGCAAGCTGATCCCTTGCAGAGCTATACGAGAAGTAACTATTAGTTTCGATGGATCACGGTATGCTCCAAGACAGGGGAGTGATACCAGACAACCCCAGATACCCCAAGCCCGACAGGCTTCCACTCCGTATAGCTGGTTTCATATAGTCTTAGCATACAAGATATAGTGTATTACTGGCTTTAGTTGTTCTAACCGTTCAGTTGTCTCGAATATTGTTCCCATTATTGATTTCTGGGAGAAGGTTGCCATTTGTTCCCCGTAGGGTGGCGTAAGTAAGGCCTTGGGCATCATCGATAGTATAGAAGTAGATAAACTGCTATAATACAGAGATGATATAAAATATATATGTATATAGGTATGTAGGCATGTAGGCATATAAGCATATAAGCATATAATGAAGAATAATATGAAATCGGAAGAATAGAAATTAGAAATGCCAATATATACCCTTTTCGATGTCGTCAGAGCCCTCGGGTAGTGACATCAGCGGCTTTGCGGGTCTCCCCACATCTCCAACACATCCAGCATATCCAGCACAGACACGCAGACACACAGACAGAAGAATCTTCCACATTCCATTTGTTTTTGTAGATCTTCATGTCTGTCCACCCCGATCCGAATTGTCTCTCAAATAATAATGGTTCGATCCATACCGGAAGGCTTTCGAGGTTTCTACACGAACTTGTCACAAGGGGGCATACGCCTCAGCGTCATGGGAGTACCCGTTCCATGTATCCTATTTTTTTTTCTTCTGTGGAATGTGATGCGCAAATAGTATCCATGTCATGGGCAGGATCGTACATTCGTTGATTCGTAACTATCAAAAGTTTTCAATATGAGTGTAAAAGCTCCTCCGAGCGGCAGGGCCTGCAGTCCTGAGATTAATATACAACATTGAAGTTAACGCCCATCGCTAAACATAACAGCCTTCCAAACAATGGGGAAGGTGAGTCCTTAGGTATACCCATTGTCGGCATTGATAAAGTTTTCAAACATGGAATCGGCAACAAAACCATTTGGCTCGTAAGGGGCAAAGTCGTTCGCAATGGCAGGCAATACCGTCCAGTCGTTGTTATACGCGCCCGGTCCGATGGGATTGGCACCTGTATCCTCTGTGACCGACTCGTCGGAATAGGTCCCAGTTGAAAATGCGGGCGATAAGCCGGTTGGTAAGTTGGAATTCGGATCCTGGTTGGGAGGACTTTGCAGGACGGTCTGGGTCATCCTGGCGAGTTGGTTGTTGATTTGGTGGTCTTGGCAGTCGGCGTGTTGGAAGATGAGGTTTTTCAAGTTCCACACTTCTTCTCGGAGGCAGTTCAATTGTGCTAGGAGGATGTCTTTCTTTTCAGTTTCGTCGGTGAGACGACGTTCGATTTGTTTGTGTTCTCGCTTCTTTCTTTCGCGACATTTGTTGGCGGCGACGCGGTTTCGTTCGAGGTGCTTTGCCCGCCCGGGGCTGACGGGGTGGGAGTGGGAGGGAGAGGTGGGTGATACGGATTTCATTTTTTTTTTTTTTTTTTGTCACACTACCAATTATGAAAGTATTGGAGGTGATAAGAGAAGTAATAGAAAGTAATTTTGAATATTATAGAATTGAAGAGTTTTTTTTCTTTTATAGTTTTCCAAGTCAATGAGCAGAGTAATTCCAACAATTTGCCATGTAGAGCTCTGACTTGATATATGAACCAACCCTACAGTGTGGGCTCTCTCACAAATATATAATAGAGTCTGGACTAAAATCAATGACGTATTGTGTCAAGGATCTAGACAGGATATAGACTATAAAGCAAAGCAAGCCTCAAAACAGCTGTAACCCGGCAGCCGTTTCCGTCCAATCGTCTATGCCTCAGGTCCACATGGAATTTGTAACATATCATCTGGGAAGTTGGAATAAACTTGAGAGTTGTGGGTGGAGGTGGCAAAATATTATACATATTCATCTATATCGTCCGCTGTAGATCCATATTAATCGCCAGGATTGAACTGGGATTAAGGATGAGTTCTGACATCATATATCTTCACAGGATCAACATGGCCGAGTTTAGTTATGATCTAGACCATCTGGCCATGCACAATAAGAGTACAAAATATTCAATAGAAAAGAATTGACGAATTGAAAAAGATTGAAGACCCAAGTTTGTTGGAATACGAGGACATTAAAACGCATATCTTGATGCGGAAAGATCAGGCTAACCTCGGGATTCTCCAACCTCGCCACTTTGCTCGAAAAACTTGGCATTCCTCCCGTGCTAGACCTAGCCTTGGATACCATAACACAGAAGCTCCCTCCGAGAAATGCCTTGTCAATCCGATAGTTTGAGAGAGATTCGTCAGCAAGACCATACCCTCCATCCAAGCGCAATACATAGTCTTTCGTTATGTTCCTGCATATACATGCAGGCTTCTGGTGATCTTCCGCCAATAGAAAGACTCCAAATCGGATGAGAGCAGTGCAACCAATAGTATGAAGGTCAACAGCGTGCACTCTTGGCTCGGCATTACACGCCATATTTCTTGAAACAAGAATTGATTTAATACACAGAAAATATATTTACATAAAAGCCCATCAACACAGGTCAACCAGCGATCTGTTCATCGATATAGCGTCTCATCGTCTCGAATTCTGATTTGCCTGTCTTTAAGCTCGTTAGCAATCCATAGTGTTAAAACAAATCACTGGAGCTTCATACCGAAAGCAAATATCTTATGTGTTGCTGCAGCAAGAAAAAGTCAGTCAAATATTCTCGAATATGAATATTCCCATGGAACCGAGAACAAGAACATCAAACATCAACCTACCACATCCGATACTCCACGATGGCGCTCGAACTCATCGCGTGCATACTTATGCAGCTCAGTCCTTGTTGACGAAGGAGGGACTTCTGAGCATGTCTCTGTTAGTCACATACATGGCCCGGTGATTGGGATGGTGAGCGTACTTATTAATGCTCGGACGATTTCCCGCCATAATGACAACACACGCTGTCTTTGGATGAACTATACGGTCAATTAGTACATATACTTCAATCCAAGCTTGATAATTACTTACATGGTCTAGACTGATGGAAGGCTTCTTCAGCTTGGAGGGCTGGCTGCGCGAGATCGCGGCGAGGAAACGGTGTGAGGGACGCATTGGATCAGATCATACCATGGCCTTGTAGATGAAACAAATGATTGCACGCGTCTGCAAGGTTTCTTTTTTGATGATAGAGATTCCGATTAGCTGCTTGTAGGAGAAGGGATATAGAGGGCGGTGAAACAGTGAATATTTCTGCCGTCAGCATTATGTTTGACACGGTCAGGTGATCTGCTATATACGACGAACCAGGGTGTCAACATAACACTGTTTGGCTTCCTGTGGAAATTGCCATGATATCGGAAGGTTATAGGGTCTGGTCTGTACGAACCAGCTATGACTTTGGGTAATGTTTAAGACTAGGCATGGAAGGTGTAGAAGAGGAAAAATGTTCATATAAATGCGTGGTAGGGTTTAAATGTTAAGAAATATATATAGTGTTCAAGTAGATCATTCGTGTCCAATTTTTACTCCTGTAGAGGTTGGCTCATGCCACCAAAAGTGATGCTCTTGATAATCATGAACTCGTCGATACCATACTTGCTGCCCTCACGGCCGAAGCCACTCTGCTTGACGCCACCGAATCTATAAAGGTTAGAGCTTGGTATACCAATTGTGGGGAGATGCAAACTTACGGAGAGGCAACATCACTGATCAAACCAGTGTTGACACCAACCATGCCGACCTCCAGGGCCTCAGCAACACGGAAGATGCGGTGAACATTACCACTGAAGAAGTAACCAGCGAGACCGACCTCGGCATGGTTAGCCAGGTCAATAACCTCCTTCTCAGTCTTAAAGGGGAAGAGACCAGCTACGGGGCCGAAAGTCTCCTCGGAAGCGAGAAGCATATCCTTGGTCATACCAGTAAGAACAGTAGGGTGGTAGAAGTTAGGTCCAAGTGCGGTAGCTCTTTGCCCACCAACGACAACCTGAGCACCTCTAGAAGTGGCATCCTGCACATGCTCGTGGGCCTTGTTGGCGGCACGCTCGTGAATGACAGGTCCGTGAGTGATGCCATCCTCGAAACCACCACCGAGCTTGAAGTTCTTGACCTTCTCGACAAAGCGCTTGGCAAACTCTTCATACACGCCGTCTTGAACGTAGATACGGTTAGCGCACACGCAGGTCTGGCCAGAGCTGCGGAATTTGGAGTTGATGGCACCCATCACGGCTGCGTCAAGGTCCTCGACGTCATCGAAAACAATGAATGGTGCATTACCGCCGAGCTCCCAGGAGACCTTCTTGATTGTAGACGCAGACTGCTTTCCAAGTATGCGGCCGACGTTAGTCGAGCCAGTGAATGACACCTTACGTACCTCCGGGTGGGTGGTAATGAGCTCGCCCACTGCAGGGGTGTTCTTCGAAGAAGTAACAAAATTGACAACACCCTTGGGAATTCCAGCCCGGTGCGCAAGCTCGGCAATCGCATTCGCTGTGAAGGGCGTCTCCTGGGGAGACTTGGCCACGACTGTGCAGCCCGCCGCCAGGGCGGGGCCAATCTTCCGTGTAATCATCGCCGCGGGAAAGTTCCATGGCGTAATTAGACCGCACACACCAACAGGCTGCTTAACAGTAATAACCCGGTTTCCGGGGACGGAGGCGGGAATTGTGTCGCCGTATGTGCGGGGTGCCTCCTCACTGAACCACTCGAAGAAGCTGGCGGCGTAGTTGACCTCGCCCTTCGCATCAGCAAAGGGCTTTCCGTTCTCCCATGTAATCAGCTTCGCTAGATCATCTGCGTTCTCCACCATCAAATCGTACCACCGGCGCAGCATGCGCGCACGCTCGCGGCCTAGTGTCGTGCGGAATTTGGGGAAGGCTTCGGAGGCGGCTTGAATCGCCTTCTCAACATCGGATGTATCGAGCTCGGGGCATGTTCCGATCAATTTGCCAGTAGCCGGGTCTGAATGAGACAAAAAAAAGTTAGCGATTTATCTGAACTGGAATGTTCAATTTGGTACTTACCGTGGACTTCGAAGGTCTTGCCGGACTTCGCATCAACCCATTCGCCATTGATGTACGCTTTCTCAATGAACAGCGATTGGTCTTTCAACTGTAACCCATTAGTATAAACTACAAAAAAAAAATCACATTCAATTGTAGATCTTACCTGCGGCGCGCTGTGTTTCATGCTGTATAGTCTCTGTGCGCGAGCAGTTGGGGGGATGGAAAAGGGATATCTCGATCGGGGTCTCAATAATTGGCGGGCGACGGGGCGGATGATGCGGTCCATTATAAAATCAAGGCAAGGAGGAGCCTTGGAGAGAGGAAAAAGGGGAATATAGAGAAAGTTTTATTGTGAGTGCGGGGAGCTGGAGGTTGGGGAGTTGGAGATGCTTTTAAAGGGAGCAGTTCAACAGTTCTAGTGGGGGTATCGGTGTCTCGAATTGGTGACTCAATGGTGATTGCTCTCTGTGTCCGAGAAGCACCGAATATGTGTGTAATGAGAATGCTAAGAATGAGAGATGGTAATCTTCGAAGGGGAAGCTCCATGCTTAAAGCGGGGATCTGCGGAGTTGATGTCATCTATACTTAACCTCGGGGCCATAGATCAACACAGTTTTGTTTTTGATTTCGTTCTTTTTGGATATGTTCTAATACGTTCTTCAGTGTCTTTTTTCACGTTATATTGACGAAAAACTAACTGAAATAGAGACAACTCTTTCGATAGAAAATGCTTCATTTCATAGATCTGGTAATTTAAGTAATTTTTGAAATAAATATTACAGATTACGGCTGTTTCAGCCAATGGAAGTCTCAGCCTTTCAGGAACGCGGGATTTACAACCAATGATTGCCGATCTTGGACCTCCGGCCTTGAGATAGTGTATTGGAATTACCCCGAGCTCATCTACCACGCATCGGTTTATTCCCCCACAAATCACCAAGCACCCTCGAAGCAGAGAATGGGAATCTTTCCTTTTTTTATAAAGGAAAAGCGCGATAGAATAAAAAGCAAAAGTGACTGTTGTAGATGGACATGGGGACTGCGCAGGGTGCACAATCACTCAAAAGAAAATGACAGGGGTGGCCGCCTCTAGCAATAAGTAGTGTTCAAAGTCCTGCTATGCCATCACTATACCGAAGCATTTGATACAAAGCACGATATGTGCCTCTTCCAGGAGCAAAATGGATATCCCAGAGTGGTAACAGGTTGCATTTTGCGGGTGAGATCCAAGGGCTACCTGTCTACTCGCAAGATGAGACCATCTAACACGCATCCGGACTATACCAATGGATATGTCTACAATGAACCCCAGACGAGCGTACGCATAACACAAGTGACTGTATTAGACTAGAAGAACTCCTATACAAACTGGTCTCATGGATATATCTTGACCAAATCGTCCTTTTTGGGTTTGGTCCGTTTGGAATATCCTGCCCTAGTACCTAATAAAGTCATTAGATAGAGGATACTTTGAACATAGTACCCTAGGCCACAATAGAATATCAGAATGGCAAATGTGACAATACTCTCTTACCCCTTAAAGGTTACCACCAACCTTCTTTCACTTAAAAGCCAATCGACAACCCCATCCCATTTGCCTTCTTCACCACCTCTCTACTTCACCATTCACCACTTTACCCTTTAGTACATCACCTTTCATTACTTTAATCCTTTCCCATTTTGCCAGTTTGATACCTTTCGAACAAGGCTCTCAGCCCAAATTCGAACAGCATTTTCTCAGTCTAGTCGAGACAGCTCGCTACATTGCTTTGCCTGAAGGTTGGTGTCACGCTCTCATTTGAACTCTTAAAATCCATAGGCTAACAGAACTCATCAGACACCAGCCATCTACCTATTTGCAAGCTAGCCCGGGGACCCAGTTGTCCTTCTGTCTCCACATACCCACCAACATTCGCATCTTTAACCCAATACTCCTCAAATCGAGTCGAGGTGCCTCGATACGACACGAACGGATCCTCCGCTGTCCCTGATGTGAACCAGCACATCACGGGCACCTCGGAAGGCATGATTACCCAGCTAGACGACTGGTCAGCTGTTGTCCCAGACAGAGACGGTATGGATACCCGACTTGACGACTGGTCACCTACTCTCCCTGATATCAATCAGCACATTGAAGGCTCTATGAACATACAAGTTGACATCTGTCCACCCACTGTTCCCTCAGTCTCAAACCTGAGTTCGTCTTTGTCTGCAAAGTGCACCCTCTCGCCACCACGGGGGACCATAGATCGATTCGGAAGCTTGCCATGGTTTGCTCTCGAAGAAATCCTCTTTCACTTGCCTGACTTGTCTACCTTACATCAATTGTGCCAAGCTTCGCCAGCTGTGGCTGAATATCTCAGCGACAAGGTTGGAATATTTCCAAAGGTTGTTGAAAAGATCATGGATCCGTGGATTGACCCTGTGACTAGCGAAGATATAGATTTCCGTACCATACGGCACCCTGATCGGGGTGTCATAATAGATACCTCTGTTTTTTTTCGAACTCTGGTCTATCTCTGGTGGAAAGAGAATGTCGTGGCCACAGGTGTGCCTGCGGATGAGAACCCGTTGCCGGATGACTTCAACGATGTGTGGCTCTACCACATCAATATCGGTTTAGAGGGCTTCGTGGAGCCAAAAAAGGTCGGGGAGATTCCCCTCCCATTTTCAACTCCGCCGAAGATTCTGCGTTATCTGCTGAGTCTTGCAAGCCGCATCCGGCGGGATGCCCATGCCTTCTTCCACAGCGCCATGGATCTTTTCAAGTCTAGCAAAATCGAGGAGCTCTCGTACAAAAAGGGAGTGTGGAAAGAAAACGGGACCCGTCGCCCTCGTGGCGTTCCGATTGACAGCAGTAACGCGGATTGGCCTCTCACTTGGTTGGAGGAGCAGCGCATCATGCAGGCCCTGTTGAAGCCGTACATTTTCTCGGTACTGCGCCGCATGGTCTGTGAGACAGGGCTACTGAAAACCAACGCTATTCCTCCCTCTCCCAAGAGACCGGATTCCACAGATACGCTCCAGGACCTGCAAAAGAATGCATTGGTAAACTTCTGGGCACCTTTTTCATTCGCTGGTATGACGGGGAATGAGCCGCTTGAACAACTGGAGACCATCTGTACCTGGAAAGAAGGAAGACGGTCGCACGGAACGCAACCCAAGCGAGACGCCAAGTTTACCACATGCTGTCCGAAGTTTAGCCAGCTGAGCGACGAGCAACTCAAAAAGGGCTTGTGGTCTCTCCAACATAGCACGCTTCCGGGGCCATTTTTGGCACAAAATTCCACTCACTCTGTTGTGAGAGACGCTGGCCTTCGCGGAGACTTCCACAAGTTCGGCGTAAGCTTCTGGGACATGGATAGAATGCTCAACTTGGGGCTCGCGACTCATAAGATGCACCGGGAGATAGACAAGAAAGACCTCGCGTTTCGTTGGTTGACTCTGCTGCTGTCGAACAAAGGCCCCAGAAAGTACGGCCAGAAAAGGTTGGGTCGATTCCGCAGTCGTACAAAGGCTATTCCGGTAGCCAAGTAGGTCTGCTGGACTTGACCAGGTTCACGCCGGAGGATGGGGCTTCCGCTGACAGAAGCCATATGGGTGGACATCTTTTCAATTTCTTTTCTTGATCTATTCGCTAATTTGGTTACCGAGGGAAAAGGGAAAAAACGAAAAACGAAAAAAAAGCACACACACATCGTGAAGGCGATGTCTTAGCCGTGAGGAACGGCTGATTTCGCTATTGAACTAAAACAGAAAAAGGAAAAACACAAAAAAAAGCTGTGGAGTACATTCATTGATCGCACTAGTAACCCCAAAAGAGACATACTTAAGATTATCACGCATTGTAGACAACTCAGTGATAGACACTTGCCAGCAGTCACTCTGTTCTGTGGTTTTTATAGCGGGACCTGGCATTTTCATCGGCTCTCTACTAACTTACTGACTGCATCATGGTTAGGTTAGACACATGTTCTATTGGAAATCTAACCTCTAGACCAGTTTGAAAGGCATAACCCAAATAGTCTTGACCAAGCCGGGACTAATCTATGGATGTTGATAGGTACTTTGATTCACACTTGCGACTGACGTACATAAAGAAGACAACCTATTCGAGTACGATAACCGGATCATCCTGCTCAATCGAGGCTTCATTCCCAGGAGCAACATGTATACCATGCGCCTTTTTCAAATGCTGGTTCAGGTTCCATTTCCGTGAAAACCCATTCGTATGCCGAGTGCAAGTCCTGACAGGACAGAGGATATCCACTTTCCGATGAGGACCCTTTCCAACGCCCGGTTTAGCCGTCTTTTGTTCTTGGTCGGCGGCTTGTTCTGTGTCTACAGTAGGTTCCGCCACTGGATTTGTCGGCTCCTCCGGGGCTGGGGACGGGGATGCGGAGGGAGGAACGATTGCAGGACTCTTGTGTGTCTTCGAGCGTCGCTGGCCTGCTATCCTCGTGTTGGATTTAGGAATCTTTGATTTGGGGTTCGGTTTGGGTATCGCCGCTTTGGCTTTGGGTATCTTCACCGTGGCTTTCTGTTCAAGCTTAGGTTTGGTGATCTGCCTGCGATTTGGCTGGGGGGTTGGCGGAGGGATTAGCCGAGGACTTGGTGGTGTCGAGTCGATCTCGCTCTCGCTTTCGGTGTAGGCGTATTCTTCTCGAGCACCTGCCTTGCTCCTCTTTTTTACCCTGCCTTCAGGCATTATTCGGAATTCCATATCCTCGCCAAAAAGGTCGGCGCATCGCTTTGATGCGCGCATAACAGCAGGGGTGGGAAGGCCCATCATTGATGCCAATCCCATAACTTCACTCCAGTCTCGGAGTTTGAGTCGGCCCTTGATGTGTTGGTTGTTATCGTGGCCAACAGAGGAGTCGCGAGATTGCGCTCGGGTTTGGGAAACATCTGGCAAGTTTTCATCTTCCGTCTCTAGTCCAGTGGACATGCGTGCACTGTTGGAACGGCGTGATAAGTCCCGTTCCTGAGACTCCCGTCGAGCACTTCTTCGACCACGTGATCGACTTCTGCTTCTGCTCTTGTGGCTCTCTCGAGTCAGATAGTCTTCTTCATCTGAATCACTCCATTGCTCATCACCAGAATCTTCCTCGAACTTGCGACCCTTTATGGCGCAATGAAGTCCGTATAGCAGGCGATCTACTTGTGATATCACATTGCGGGCTAGCGGACGTAATTGGCGAATAGATTTGTCCTCGTCGAGGAGGACGGTCGGCCGGAGGATTCTTGTATCAATTGGCTCTTCTTCTTCGTCCTCCTCCTTTTTCTCCAATTCGTCGTCCATCAATTCATCCCCGTCGAGCATCTTATTCCGGGGGTTATCTTCAATTTCCTCGAAATTCAACTCTCGGGCTTGGAAGGTCTCCTTGGAAGTCTTCAATATGAACGCTGTGATGCATTCTTCCAATTCTCCACTGGGTCGGGAATCAGGTTCCATTTGAAAAATATCAGGGGCGTCCATTCTCCTCTGAATCACCTCGTTGGATCGGGGAACTGTGGCCGCATGAACAGGCCATGCAGCCCATCGCTTGTTCACACGGAGTGGTGCTTTGTCAATGACCCCAGGGTTCTTCCGAGCACTGTCCCGCGCTCGCCTGCGAATCGCGTGGGCATTGTAAAGGTGAGCCGCTAAATCTCTGGTTCGGTGGGTAACCATTGCATTATAGGCTCCGATTTCATCGGCATTGTAGTTTCTCCACGAATTGGCGTGTCCATCAAACAGATTGGGACGCTCAACTCCAGGTGGCAGGTCAAGACCTCGGTCAACTACGTAGTAAATTGGATCGTGTTGGGGCTCCCGTGGCCCTTTTGAGCGTATGCGACTTCTGCCACGATTATTGCCTTCATAGCTTTCGTCTTCAGAGTCATCCTGGAACGCCAAGGGCGGTTCTCGCATTGTGTCAAATTCATTTTGATCTAGCTCCTCATCCATGAGATCTGCTTCAGAAAGAGGCTCTAGAGGGGCATCTTGATTAATGGGGTCACCAAAAAGAGAACTCCTTGGTGGTTCTGGTTGAGAAGAAGGTTGTAGGACATCACTGCTTGGGCCTCCAAATAATGATTGGTGTGGCTGGGCAGATTGCGGCGGAAGAAGTTCTGGCAAGGGCACTTGGCTTCCATACAAATATGACATGACGGGAAGAAAGTTCGGTCTCTTGCCGTTGTATGCGCAAAGAGTTTAGACCTGCAGGGCCTAGATGTCACATAGGTGCGGATTTTTATTGGACAACATCCGACTTAAAGGTCAAGAGGACATCCAGTGTCAGAAATTTGAGTAACGGGTGGTTTAAATGGTGAATTTTGACTCTTCTGTCCAACAGTTCAATTGTTTTCGAGTGTTGAAGATGTCAAAAATTCCAGGCGGGTGGATCACAATACGGTCACATGATCGATATACAAGTTCCCGTCCAAAATATGTGCGCTAGTCCCAAAATGGCAGTATATAAGTTTCTGCCCTATGTAATCTCTACTATGTCTATCACGATGATAGGATTCCAGCGATCACGCAATCTCCAACTGCCTATTAACTCTGGATCAAGCTTTCCAAGTACACCGGCAGAACACTGCTCGTGCGAGGCTGACGTGGTACTGTGGAACAGTCAGATACCCGTGGAGGCACAAAGATCGTCGCAAAGACTAAAATTGTGTTATGGTAACCTGAGCTCCTCATTCTGGAATACCTTCAAGCCCACCTGCGACGCTCGATCCTTCCATGTAAGAGCCAGGAGGAACTACATTGACCCGAGTGGGCTTTGAAGGCAAATCATATTATTTCAGCCACCATATCATTTCAGCCCTAAACACAGTGCTAGGACGAGCTAGCATACTCGAATCAACTCCTATCACTGATGTCTCCGGGCTGCTCTGTTTTCCAGCGCCCTCGGAGTCAGTTCCTCAGTGGGGTTTAGTGGTCCCCACAACTATAACTATGGACCAATCAATTTACGTTGCTGGCGTAACTTTAATGTATACTATTTTGCTCGATAGAACTTGAATATGTAGTTGCATGTGAACGAGATATTGGTAGAAAGATAGATATTTATGCAAAGGAAAAGGGTAATGATGGTATTTCAATAGTAATATAGCCCCACGGCTCTATGTAATTATTCAAAACGAATGAAAGTGAGCAAGTCAATTGCCAGAAAACGGAAGTGAAACCACCCTTCTTTTATACTTTGAAGCCGCATTCTAGAACCCATCTTTAGGAAGAAAGAGCGGCATAGGATCCTCCCAGATGGAGTTGGTCAAGGCACGCTTATTGGACCCATCGGAGTCCATGATCATGATCTGACCGTAGGGCTGGAATGTCTCGTCGTACAAAGGGCACTCATACTGGAACCCGTACATTCCGGAGGACCACATGATTTTTCCATCTTGGCGCCAAACGGCGTGGGCGTCATTGGCGCCGCTCGACGTCAGAATGCGAAGATCAGTGCCGTCAGGGCGAATGATACAGACATCGTAGTTAGTCGGAGAAACCTTGCGGGTGAAGACTATCCGTTCCCCATCGGGCGAGAAAGAGGGAAGATTGTCCCAGCCACTGGTGAGTTGGGTAATCTCTCTAGTCTCCATGTCGATAACGCGTAAACCAATATCTGTCGCGTCGCCGTACTTAGCGGTGTCGGCACCCCAGACGCGGTAGACCACCTTCTTGCCGTCGCGAGAGAAGCTGGGAAAACCAGTGTTTAGGTCCTTGGTTCCATTTATCCAGAGGTTGCTAGAGGTGAGGACGTCGATGTGGCTGCCGTTTGCAGTGGAACGCACAATCCAGCCTCCTCGCCAATCACGCGCCTCAAACCAGGCGCCTACTCCGAAGACGACCCATTCGCCGTCCGGGGACCAGCTGGGACTGTAAGCCCCGGCCAGACCTTCTGGAATCAGAGTCGTGTCGAGAAGACTGGTATCATTAGGGTTGTAGAGTAAGGAGATCTCCCTATCCTCTAGGTCAAATGTGGCAATTGAGGAGTTCCCAAGTTGCCTTTCAGTCAGAGCCACACGATCGTCCGACGAGAGTTGAGGGAATACATCAGTGAAGCGGTATTCCCAGTCACTGTCCCAGCTGTAGAGCTCTTTAAAAAGAGGGCGGATAGACCAATCAATTTTCTCGTAAACAATGTACTTTCCATCAGGAGACCACGAGGGAGAGCGGATAGTGGTATTGAAGTACGTACCATTTGTGAGGTACACGCCCTCCTTAACGCCACCCTTCAGATGGTACCCAATGGTGGAATTCGTCACGTATTGAGGAAATGTCTTGACACCTCTACCGCCAACCTCAGTTCGAGGGCCATTGCCGTCGATTCCAATTGACAAAATTGTGGAATTGGCAGCTGCCACGAGCTCAGGTCGATGCGCATGCCATGTCCCATTACAAGTCATCTCGTAGAATATGAGGCGCTTGCCATCAGGTGACCATTTGGGAGACCCAAGGCAGTGGCCTGTACGGTTGACGATACGGCGAAGATCCGAGCCATCAGGGCGAATAACATAAATTCCGAGTTCTTGAGTGTGCTCCCAGCCATTCAGACCGAGATAGGTAAGATTTCCGTGGCCATTCCATCTTGTGTTGCGATCTGAGGAAAATGCAAGCCAGTTTCCATCTGGCGACCAAGCTGGACGGAAGTGCCCGCGCATCATGTCCTCATCTGGTCGGTTAGCTGGTGTATCTGTGATATTCCACTCGGCCCCAGTCTCCAGGTCTTTGACCCAAATGTTAGCGATGTAACTGTTGGCTGTCGAAACATATGCTGCCAATGTTCCATTGGGTGATATTGTAACGCTGTCTTCCACTGATGGGGATGTCACAATCGGCTGTAGATCGGATCCATCTGGGCGCACACGCCAGATATCGGAGTTTCCATCGCCGTTGCGCTCACTGGTAAAGCTGATCCATTCACCATCGGGAGAGAATTCGGCATGGTATTCATAGCCGGGGTCTTTCAATAAAGGACGCTCGTTGGTGCCGTCTGCGTTGGCGATGTATAGTTCTGAGGCGCCGGGCGCAATTCGGTTCATCAACAGCAGACCCTTTTTCCCAGCCGCTGCGGAGGGAGTAGGAGACGCAGCACTTGTGGTTGATTTGCTCAGAATGGCGTCTCGAGGTAAGTGTGCATGGAGAGTGGCACTATGGTCAATCTCAGTGCCCGTATCTCGGCCATAAGGGCAGTTCGCTAACGCAGGGGCAATAGCGAGACCCACGACAGCGACAACGCTAAGACGCATTTCAAATGCCGTGGAAAATCTTCGAAAGACAATGGTCTCCGGTAAAAGAAGAAATCTCCAGGGCTCTTCCAATATTACAAAAAAGAAGTTGTCACAGTAGTAATATGGAATGCGGGAATGAAAACCCGGAAGGTGCTACCTACTTGTAGGTAGCTGTACACATGGTCTTATAGCCATAGGTTTAAAGAGTTTTGTTTGGGTGCCCTATCTAATTCTTTGCTTACGAACGATTTATATAATGGATCATTTAATAGAGAATCTCCCAGTTTAGCCGAACCTGTCATCTGGATCAGGAACTCATTATCTTATATTGATTAGCATCCTATATATTCAACAAGATCGACGTCATTCTTGCCATGCTCCATAATACTTTAGCTTTTCGAATAGAAAGTTGGCAGACTGCTATACGATAGTTACTCCAAGGTATTGGTATACAATGTCAGCGAGTGGTACAACTTCGCAGCTGAATCGTAGTTTTAATCCGCATAAGAGAGATCTCGAAATCGTATGTTTACCGTCTAAGCTTTCCCGACAGTAGCTAAACTAGTTTGACCGTCAGAAGAGCAAGGGTCTGAAACATGGGTCGACTCTGCATACTTCCCCGAGTAACCCTAACCACGTCGTTTGCCATGTCAAGAACATGGAAGCTATCGAATAATAATAAAAAGGTGCAGAGTGAGATTCCAGACAGGGTTTTCACTTCCGGTCAAAGATTATGGTTTTATACTCAAAGGCAGGAAATATCGTACCTCATCGTCAACTGGCAAGCACCGCGAGACCCCGGCCTAGGACCGAAAATCTGCGGAACTAGCTCCGTATGGGTGGAAGCAGCGGCTTGAGGGATCCGATCAAGATACCACGAAATGAAATAGTCACCTTGATATGCATATTTTGAATTACTTTATGAAGCATTCCTCCGGTCAGTGTTCTTCCAGAGTAGGCGCCCTAGAATTTGGCACAGAGACAGTAGTTGGGGTCCACCAAGTCGGATCAGAATACAAGAATTTACGACATGACATTCCAGAGCGACAATGGATCACATTCGAGTGGCATTTTCAGTAACTACTAGTGGCATGGAACAATGTATGATGACTTCTTTGGCTACAGATGCCACAAGGAAACCATGAGACATGCCCAATCGGAGTCAGCAAAGTACCACCAGCCTAGCCCGGATTTTTTTCGCATATGGTACAGCTAAGAGATGTTTATCCGCATACATCGTTTCACAAAACCGATCAGTGGAAACCGATGTATATATTGATACTAGCCCAAACCGATCTATATCTTCTCATACTATTGAGAAAGTGGGAAACGCCACAGAAGGTTTGACGGATTGCTCACTAAAAGCTAATGGTGAAATTAATACAGCACTCTATCGTGAGACCATATATTCTTGTCTGACGGCTGACATTGAACACGAGGGCCGGCGTTAGGTGCCGACGCGGTTGAGGTCGCGGTAGAGCTCTGGCACTTTCTGACTACTATTGTTACTAAAACATAGCCTGCCAAATTCATCTCAGGTTTTTGGATTTAAATCCTCACATCACCAATGGTAACTTTGAAATCTTAGCGGACAATTTTGGGACCTGTCGGATATAAATGTGGGGCTGTAGATCGTGGTCCTCGAGACTCGGAGATGGAGCTGATGCAGGCATACGCCACTCATTTCGCCATTTCTACTGTTTAGGATTGGATAGTAGATTCTTCCTTATGCTAGAAAATACGAAACATAATGGCTACACGCACATAAAAAGGGAAGCACAGGTTCGCTCTATTTATTCATGGACATGTTGCCAACCACTCAACAGGCGAATCAAAGTCTTGGTCATTCTTCCAAAGCGGATTCCACAACAATTCTCGAATCCTGATCAAATGTAACAATAAAAGTCTTCCACTTTGCCTGTTCAACTTCTGTTTTCTCCTGGCCGATGACAAAGCTCAAAAACCCGCCATGTGTAACAACGACAATGTCTGGTCTTCCGCTGTACTTTAGTTCTTTGAATTTCTCCTCCAACCGACTCTGGATCCGTGCTCTGCGCAACTTCAAGCTCTCGACATCACTGGCATAAAGTCCTTCCTTTGCTGGGAATGTGGGATCCAAATCTAATATTTCCCAGGGTAGATCGTAAAACTCCGATTGTAAAATCGCGATGTCGGAGCCAGTATCACATGGTCGAGCGGAGTGTGCCTGCACATCTGGCTCTAACAAAAGACGGGCGCCATTTTGAATTCCTGCCCCGGAGCCTGGGGCATAATATTTCTCATCGATGCTTTGTTGGAGGCCTAGACGCGCCGTTTGAAGAGTGCGTCGGAGTGGAGATGTCACCACTAGACCAACACTCTCCTTGAACGGAAAGTCTTGACAGAGTTTTAGGCATTGTTGGATTCCTTTTTCTGTCAATGGAGGGTCGAGAATGGTTCTGTCGTGGCTGGGATTGTGGGTTCCCTCTGCGTGTCGGATGAGATGTAAACGGAAAGACATTTCGGCGGCGGTTGGATGGTGATTTTGTGACCGAATTGAGAGATACAGTAGAGCGATCAATACGAAGAGGCAGATGAGTATGAATCTCATGAATATTTTCATCTCCGTTCTGAATCTAATGATCGGTAAGAGTACAGGGCCCCGAAGCTTATATCCGACCTCGGGAGCTTAATCGGACCTCCCTTCCAACTTGGGGAATATCGGCCGCGGGCATAGAGTACATCGGATGAGATGGAACCGGACCTTTTCTGAGAGATGATCTTTGACCAATGAGAAATAAGACATGCTGTGGATCGGTTCCCTTCGTGGATATATTAACATTCAAAGAAATAAGAAGGTACAGAAGGATGGTAAAATAGGTTATGCACTGACCTCTGTCAGAAGCAGTGATGGAAGAAAGTCAGTGTCATTAAGACAGCTTGAGACGTCGCGGTTAACACCTACATACTCGATCACTTACGATCCAAAACATTCCAACCTTGGAAGTGATCCTGAAAGCTGTCGTAAGTGCTTTCTCCACCCCCGGGACCCTCCTGACTGCGTATGCGGAAAAAGTACTATCGAGAAGAATTGTCTTCCTTCCTGGCGTCTCGTTCCTTCACAAACGTATTTTCGAAGTCAAGCCCACAGTCCTGACGTATGATACCGTACCCAGACGATGAATCCAAAGGCCGGCTGCCATGCGCATCTGAGAAGTCCTTCGCCCGTACCATATTATCCAGTGCCACCTCGGCAACTTTTAATCTCGCACCGACGTCTTGGGCGCAACTGATGCCGTGCTGAACATCTTTGATACCGAGATTCAGGTTGGACAAAGGGGCTTGACCTAGATTATACGATCAGCAAAAGAAGAACAAATCGAGTATTCCCAATTGGCGCCATATCCATACCTTCCTCTGGCAGGTAAACACCCTGCGTCATGCGCCTAGAGCTGGAATGAATCAAACCTCCAAAATTCAGTTCAAGCAACTTTTCAAGCATGCCTGTGCTGAGATCGCTTTTCTCCGCTAACACCTGGGCTTCTCCCACGATTTCCATTGCTCCTGCGACGAGAAAATTACTAAATAGTGTCAGTAAGACTGGTATGACAAGGTATATTTGTCGCAATCCTACCCCAAAGTTTTGAGAAGAGTGGCTTTCTCAGGCTGCTCCGAGACAATCATCACATCCCGAGCAATGACATCTTTTCCGAAAGGTGTGATTTTATCAATGGCTTGACTTGGGCCGGCCATCGCCATCAACACTGTACCACTTTCCGCGGCTGGGGTGGCTCCGAAGACAGGTGCTAGTGTAGTCCATGAGAAACCACAAAACATGACTAAGGTGGGTTTACTTACCAGCAACGAAGGATGCATTTCGTTTCTTTAGTTTTTCATTTGTCTCCTTGGTCGTATTTGGATGCACGGTGGTAGTATCCACAAACAACTTGCCATCAATATCTTTGACGGCCAATATTTGGTCAATGATAGCATTCAGAGCTGCATCATCACTGGTCTGGTGCTCAAGGTTAGTGATAACGGTTTATTCTAAATCTGGTAGATCTGTGAAGGGTCCCTGAAAATGAATTGCCGATTCATATACTCACAGATATGAATATCAGATCACATTCGGTGACAAGTTCGGCGATAGACTCGCATCCAATACCTCCATGTGATTCAAGTGGCGCGCCGCGAGACCTCGTCCGATTCCAGAATCTTAATTGTGATATTGTGTCTTGGTGGAGAAATCTTTGCACATTTTGCGCCATTGCAAGTCCCATACTCCCGAGTCCTAGAGGAAATTAGAAACGGGAAGCCCAATGGAATTGTTCTTCATTGCCGTACCTATCCATCCCACAACTTGCGGTTTGATTGTCGCCATGGTTGATTAGTTTGTTTAAAGCTCGTGTGCGCCGATACTGCTTGATATGTGTAAGTTATTACTTGATGTATCCCAAAGCGAAAACATCAGCAAATATACGTGAGACCTCGGATGTGACCCGAGGGATGACTCACCAATAAGATGTCCCCGGGAGGGGCCCGAACACTCTGAGTATAGCTGCCCAGGGCGTAAGATAAAAGGGAAGAAGATGGGTGTGAGGAAGAATGTATTATTATTAAGGCATAGATGAAATTAACTAACCTATCCCAATTATTAACATCAAACATCACTAGAATTCCCACAGTTATCAACGATCGGAGCTCGTCTTTCTATCCACCTTCTACATCATCGTATTCTTCACAGGATGCAGCAGCATATGTGGTACCGGTAGTCAGTATGGATTTCCGCACAAAGAAAAAATCAATCTTACCTTCTCTGCATCACCATCCCTCAGCCAGGCTCTATAGAGCCTCCCAGAATATTCCGAATCGAATATATATGTCATATTTTCCAGAATATCTTGATGCATATCTCAAGTCCAGATACTGTCACTCCCAGAACTAATAACCCCAGCCTCATCGGAATTCACACGGTGATTCAACTCCTCAGGGTTCCATTCTTGCGCATGGTAAATGGGTTGGGGAATCTGAACCGACTTCATACAGAGCCTAGGAGGTTGGAGACATCTCTGAGCCTAGACCCAGGCCCTTTTCAGTTAGATCAGCGTCCATAAAGCGGAGCAGACATGCTGAAAGTCAAGACATGGAAATGGGGGAAGCCCGGCGTGGGGTGTCTGATCTTTCGGTGAACTCGTAGATCATATTCCGCATCGGCCAACCCGTGTTCGCTGGATTAAACTGTGGAAGCCAGGTAATCACATCTGCTTCCTCCCCAACATCCCAGCTCGATGTTTCCATTTCTAGTATCGGCATGGTCGCGGGAAAGGTGCCTCCCTTGAGACATTTAGGCCCTCCACTGGCATTGGACCCCAGATAGTTGGACGGCTCACCATACGTTGATCTACCATTCTGTTGAATTGATCCCAGGTATCATGGACAGTGGGGATGTAAAAGTACGAGTTACGCTCCTAGTGGTGTTTCCGGGGGTGTTGTTTCGCGAATTCTGTTGCTTACCCTAGCAAATTATACAGATGTCCAGTGTGCCTTCCTCCTGTGCTTTCACTTCATAGTCATATGCGCCATAGCGGGATGATGGATCAACACAAAGACCCCTATCAAGGTTTCACGCCTCATACGAACCGAAGATAGGAGTAGGGAATTCTGCATATGATTAATCGAGCTGGAGCTCTGAGTGATTCGTAATGATCTTGCTCAAACCACAAACCTGACTGATTCCAACGGTATAGCCTTTCATCGCTGTGTTTTTGTTCTTAGGATCCAAAAGCGCCCTGTCGGGACCAATACACGATTGGTAGGACCCTATCCACTTTCTCTTCCTTGCAGCACTGTTGTAGTCGGGGTATGGATTACATAGGATCGGTCATGACGTGGAAGAATGACCATCTTTCCAGAGGCGCAGCTGGAGAATGTGCTCATTGATCTGTGGACGAAGGAGGATCATTCCAAACACATAAGAAGCAATAACAACCATGCTGAGCTTCTGGAGCGCTAGGTCAGTCAGTACCTTTGAACAACATTACGAGTCGCTTCACGAAAGGAATGACGAGAGTGTTTATAGATGTAGGTAACTTCCAAATTCGAGTTGTTCACGTGGATACATAGAACGCCATTGACAACATGGGGAAGGCACACGCCAATGTTAACGATCATCTATTCACGGCCTAGGGTCCAGTATACGTGTTGAAATGAGTTGCCAATATCCTACATCTGGCGATAGGTTGACCAGTTGGACTACACAGGGTTTCAAGATGGCAGAGGACAGACAAAAGCTATACATATAACTGGGGTGTTACCCCATAAATAGCATTAAAACTTCACAAATTTTTGAGGTGCCTATACAGGGGACATATCCAAACCGCAACGCCCGGCAAAAGCACTATCTAACATGCACAAATGACCCGAGCTTTAGTTCTTCTCGCCCTTCTCGCCCTTCTCAAGCTTGCGTCTCTTGGAGCGGAGCTTGGCGGACTCGTCAGCGGTCTTCTTGTTAGAGTACATCATCTTCTCAAGCAGCTTGCGCTTCTTCCGGCTCATCATCATCTTCTGTCTCTCGAGCTCCTCATCCTCGCTGCGCTTCTTGGCGGCAACCTTCTTGGACTTGGAGTTCTTCTTCTTGGCAGCTTCATCAGCAGCGGCGTTAGCGGTGAAAGGCAGACCAGCGGCTTCGGCCTCAAGCTCCTTCTGGTGCTGAGTGCGGGCAGCCTCGTCGTCATCTTCGGACTCGGATGCGGCTTCTTCGTCAAAGCCACCGAAGTCTTCGTCTTCCTCCTCGGAATCCTCCTCGCTCTCGTCGTCGTCGGTGCCGGCAACATCCATGCCTCCGTCGACGGACTCTTCGTCGGACTCCTCGGCAGTAGCAGGCTTGGCGTCAACTGCGGGTTCATCCTCCATCTCCTCATCGCTATCAGAGGCCTCGGCGGCAATCTCGGCTTCATCCTCATCCTCCTGATCGGCGAGACTGGCGCGGGGGTCGTAAGCGCCACGAGTGGCCTTGACCCAAGGGCTCAAGTGGGGTGGGAGAGTGGTACCGGGTGCGTAGAGATCAGCTCGGAGGAGCTTGCCCTCGTTAATGCAGTCCCAGACCCACTGGGGCTGGACGTAGGTACGGCCAGGAATGCGGGATCCAGGCTGGACCTTCTGAACGGCCTTCTCATCGGCAGCGGGAATAGCGGGAAGAGATTCCTGGGGAAGTTGGGGACGATCGACAATTTGGTGAGTGATGCGGGGGTCGGCCTCGTCGTGAGTGAAAGCTCCATCTCCCAGAACGGAGGCCCATCCAACGCGCTTGCAGCCGAACGAGCGCAGAATGAACTCAAGGGGAGCCTTGGGGGCTTCACGGGAAATGTAGAACACGAAGGGGGCGAAGAGTGCACCGGCCTCATTGCCGCTCATCGCGGGCTGGGGGAGAGTGTCGGCTTCGGGAGCGGCGGGCTCGAAGTGGTCGATGGCATCGGTTGCCTCGTCGGTAGTGTCGACCATCTCCTCATCCGTGCTCTGTTCCAAACCGGCCTTCTTAATCACCTTATCAACCTTGGCTTGAAGTTCCTTGGAAACTTCCTTGTTGGAGTTGCCGTTGCTCTGAGCCTTGCTAGCCTCAAGAGCCTTGGGCACCTCACCCACTGTGCGGCCCTCAAGAGTGAAAGCTGCCAACTCGGCACCATTCTCGTCACTGCGGGTATCGAACTTAGGGGGGTATCTCAATCCAATTGAGGAGTACAGGCGGAAGTTGACAAAACCCAGAAGGGTGGTGTAAAACTCAACAAAAGTAGCCATGATACGGTAATCGACGTCGCCATTGACACGCTGGACGAAACGGTATGGCACGAGCCACATAATGTCTTGGCCCTGAATCGTAGCCTGGTAATAGATACCCTTAATTGAAAGGAAGGATCTGCGCAGAGAGTTGGTCATGATCAGGTAGTGCTGGAACTCATGGCAAAGGCGCTGGCAGAGCGCAACGGTCTTAGAAGGAACATGGTCGGTGGAGGGAAGGGTAGCGAAGAGGAATAGAAGAGACAAAGCGTCGTCGAGATCACGGAGGGCATCGATAAAGGTCGGGTAGCGCTCTTTAATGACATGGTCCAAGGTGAGTCTCGGGGCGTTGTTCTTTTCTAAACGGGAGGCATCGCTGACTTCTCCACGGCCGAGAGAGCGGGCGATCTTCTTTGCAAGTGACTTCTGGTCACGGAACTTGTTGAGTAGGGGCTCGTGTAGCAGGTACTGGATGTCCTTGGTGTAATAGAAGGTGGTGTTGGGAGTAGACGTCTTAGAGGCCTTCTTCTTACTACGGGGCTCGCGAGGGTAGATACCTGATATCGGATACCATGTTAGTCTTGCGATTCAGATGGAATACCCATAGAAGAGGTAATTACCCTTGAAGATGCATAGTCGGCGGAAATCTGGCAAAGAGATCTGAAGTTTGCGCACGGCCTGAGTTCTGGTAATGTAGTTCTTGGCTGCGCCAGAGGTACCTGAAAGGAGTGTCAGTAAATTCAATTGAAATTCCCGGTTCAATTCAACATACCCTTCTTCTTAACTTTACCCATGATGAAAAATGGTTGTCAAAAGATCCAAACGGCTGCTGATAAGAAGAAGAAAATTTCTCGATAACTTTTTTTTCTTACCGCAACGAAAGTGGTCCGTGCCCGAAGGCGGAGAGAGAGCCCTGGGTCCATAAGGACCAGCTGGAATCAAACAACTAAAGCCTCACCCCGTCATGGCTGTAGACCGACGGAAGATCGCTGTGTTCGGCGCGGCTTTTGTGCTGCGTCTACTTCTTACATGTCTTTTTCCTTCATTGCCTGATTTGTTAACGGGGAGAGTCGAAGTTTCCACTCCCGTCAATAGCTTCAAACGCCGTACGTGTCTCCGACTATTGACTCCGCATTCTATAAACTAATTATATGTAGTGCAAGAAGGTCTATTCTTGTACACAAGAAATGTGTCGCCTTATGATGGTGGCGTCTTCCACCAGGTTCGTGATTCTAGATCCCTCTGATTCCGTTCCTTGAATTGACAATTCGATCCGATGATTTAGGCGCCGCTCCTGTTACCTCTCTTCGCACTACTCCCGGATGCAAAGAGCTCGCCTTTGCCAACCGCAATTTTCTACTTCATTGTCGACCTCTTGAACGCACACGCATTGGTAACCGTCTCTGCGTCAGGCCAATCGTTTAAATCGAGACTACACTCAGCGGTCCGGAAACATGTCCGATGGGATGGAGTGTCCGTTGCAGCATGGTATGGATCTCCTGGCCTGGCAATCGTATAAATTTACATACTTACCACGGAATAGGTTTTTGTTCAATCCTCTCACAATTGCGACCTGTTTAGCGCGATCAACCAGCGTATTTACGACATCAGGAATCCTCTTCGCCGTCTCTAACGCAGTCGCTGGAAATAGCATAAATGCGATGCTAGCCCTGGGATTGGCTTCATATCTGTCTCTATACCCGGCGCTGCTATTTATGCCGTTGGTCCTGCTATGCTATGACCGACGCTTGGGGGCACCAACCCCACCCAATGTTGGATCTTTCATTGTTCAACACGCTGCCCTACTGCTGGCCAGTGTAGCAGGCCTGCTTGGTCTCTCCTTTCTGATCACCGGTAACTTCTGGGAGTTTATCTCGGCAACATATGGTTTCCATCTGTTGGTTCCAGACTTGACCCCCAACGTGGGGCTGTGGTGGTACTTTTTCATTGAGATGTTCGACTCATTCCGAGAGTTCTTCCTCGGCGTTTTCTGGCTTCACCTGGCTAGCTACGTTGGGGGTCTCACCGCTCGCTTCCGCAGCCAACCTCTGTTCGTCATTACCTCGCTATTGGGTGTCTTCGCCATCTTCAAGCCATACCCTAGCATCTCAGATGCCTCGCTGTTCTTCGCGTTGCTGCCATTATATCGCCACCTTTTCCCATGTGAGTATTTCCAAACATTGAGTATATATGTCAAAACCTAACTTGGTACAGTGATGCGGTATACCTTCTTTGCGGGCTCAGCAATCTTGTACTCCAGCCTACTCGGCCCGGCTTTCTACCACCTTTGGATCTACGCAGGATCCGGAAATGCCAATTTCTTCTACGCCATTACCCTTGTCTGGAGTTTGGGTCTCTCCATCCTGTTAGCCGACACCGTCTTCGCCGCTCTCAGAGATGAGTGGGAACAAGAGCGCCCAGATCAGGTGGGCGAAGAGGTGCGACAGGTGTAATGTATACTAACTTTTGCACATCACTATTTTCATATCAAATATTTGCATTCAACCCCTTGACAAAGAGATATCCAACTATTATAATTTCAACGTCTTCGACAAGATCAAATAATCCACATCCTTAATAGTCCCATTGCGCAACATGCGCGGTCGGGGCGAGTACTCATCAACCTCATACCCAAGCCGCTCATAGAACCGCCGAGCAATCTCATTCGACTTGAAAACCGTCAACATAGACTTCTCTAAGCCGACAGCACGACCGATTCCCTCCATCCGACCCATAAGCAACCTCCCGACGCCCCGTCCCCGAGCCGCCGGCGACAAGTGAATCTCGTAGCAGTAAACAACCTCCTTTCCATCCTCGTAGGTAACCATAAATGATAAAAAGCCGAGCACATTCGGAGAACCAGCACCAGACGATGAAATAGACTCATCGCCTTCTTTCGGAGGCGGAGACGGAGCATTGTTGTCTGCGACATCACTCTGCTTCGCTCCGGGAACTTGCCCGCTAGAATCACTAGAATCATTCGGCGTATCCCGCAGAACCAAATACTTCATGTCGGGCAACTTCATCTCTTTCCGCTTTTTGGTGCGCGACCAGCCTGCAGGCGACGCGCTGTAGGCTTCGCTCGAGGTTTGCTCGATTAGATCCAGACATGCATCCAGATCAGCAGCGGAGATTGTTGCCGCGGAATAGACGTCCACGCGTGGTGCGGGAGTCATATCCTGCTGTGGCTGGTTTTTGGATGGATTTGGTTGATTAATCGCATCATTATTGGCTGGATCTCCTGCTTGTGTTGGAGTCACGTAGTGAGCGATGAAGTCGTCAATGGACAATGCGTTGGTCTGTTCTACCAGTGAGACTACGTGATTATTAGCGCGTCATTCATTGAATATGATCGAATCATGTAAATCAATAAAACAAGCTTTGGGGCTGAACTAGCTTGCGAGTGTGGAATTTATTCACTTTTGTTAGAGACGCGTCGGGTTGTGGTTCGCGGTCTCTTGGCTTTTAATTTTGTGACTCGGCCTTCTTTCACGGGCGGCATGGTTAATTCAAGGGTTTCTGAAAGGGTGTTTGATAAGTCCAATATCGATTGAGTGTTGCTTGAATGTAAGAACTTTGGGTTCATAGAAGAATGTTGTGGGTGAAAGGCCGACCCCGGACTTTGACCGCAGGAAGTATACTCCCATGCTTGCGCTTCTCTAATATCAAAGCCTCTTGGTCTCTTTATATATTTTTCTTCCTTCGGAAACCATGAACAATCCTCTTCCTCGCATCTTTGAATGCCACATTTTATTCACCCTTTCTTCTCTTTTCTTGCTCAACCACACCACCATGCCGCCCTCCCGACTGGGTTCCACTACACTACCTAGACCCAGCTGCAGCTAGCCTAACATGGGCCTTGTGCTCTCAACGGATCAATCGCCTATTCCTTAGCAGGTATACCACAGGGCTGATCAGTGGCAGCCAATTCACCAAAATACCCATTTCTGTTATGATCCGACAAATATATATCCTAGAATTTTCGAGCCTGGTTGCTTATATCGCCTAGCACGTCAAGCTTCAATTTGATAATTGATCCTGAAAATTCTTCTCAATACACGTGAAGCTAGACCCTCAAATAAAATTAAGTAACGATTTACCTAGATAGAAAACAGGTTTCGTTGGACTCTTAATAATCTCTCCGTCACCACTTGAGTGGATCTTTCGCTCAAAGCAGGAACACGGCAAATACGTCAGGCTTGATATAAACTCCCCTCAACCCCACCATAAATCATTTCGCGCTACGTTGTACACTGTTTTGAGTAAATTGGTCTACCTTATACGGTAAAATGTCTCCCTCCACTATGAAGCAATGGGTTGTTGAAGATGGAGAGCACGACTTCGACGGTCTTGTTTACAAGGACGCAGCTGTTCCTAAAGTCGGCGAAAATGAAGTCTTGGTGAAGCTCCAAGCTGCGTCGCTAAACTATCGCGACCTGACTATTCCCAAGGTATGGCCTTGCAAGAGAAAAGCGGAGATTTTCAATCTTGATTGAATTGTCTGCGCAAGATTTTTCTTTTGCCATAACCAACCTCTAACCTCTTTCCCACAGGGCCTCTATCCATTTGCTCTCAGTCTTCCGGTAGTCCCAGGTTCTGATGGTGCCGGTGAAGTTATAGAAGTGGGATCCAAGGTTGTTGAATTTAAAAAGGGTGACCATGTTGCCACTCTCTTCAATCAGGGCCACCAATACGGCGAGATTGACACATCCGCAGCGGGTACTGGCCTGGGTGGTGTAATCGACGGTGCCCTGCGTGAATATGGCGTATTCAATGAACAGGGTCTTGTGAAGGCGCCGAAAAACCTCGATGCCCGCGAAGCTAGCACCTTGTCGTGCGCAGCGCTCACCAGCTGGAATGCTCTATACGGTCTGAAGCCTTTGAAGCCCGGCCAGGTCGTTCTGGTGCAAGGAACTGGTGGTGTTAGTATGTTTGGCTTGCAGGTTAGCACTGAACTCATATATATTCCATCAGAATGGACTCGGCTAACACGGCCTTATAGTTCGCCAAAGCTGCTGGCGCGATAGTTATTGCGACAACCTCTTCTGCAGAGAAGGCCGAGAAACTCAAGAAGCTTGGTGCTGATCACATCATCAATTATAAGACCGAGCCCAACTGGGGCGAGGCTGCTCGCAAGCTGACTCCTGACGGAGCTGGTGTAGACCACATTATCGAGGTGGGTGGTAGCGGAACGCTACAGCAGAGCTTCAAGTGTGTGAAGTTGGAGGGTATTATCAGTGTTATTGGTTTCCTTGGAGGCGTGGACCCAAAGACACAGCCGACTGTTCTGGAGACGTTGACTCATATCTGCACTGTGCGTGGTGTTTATGTTGGTAGTAAAGCTCTCATGAGGGATATGATCCGAGCTATAGAGGCCAATGATATCCACCCTGTGGTGGATGAGAAGGTGTTTAGCCTTGACGAGACACGGGAAGCCTATGATTATATGGTAAGTTGATTATCACCAGTGAAGAGGAATTGCATGCTAACAGATTGGAATTCAGTGGGCCCAGAAGCACTTTGGAAAGTTGACTATCAAGATCAACTAAAAAATGGGATGGAAAGAGGCTAGGAGGCAACGTTAATGTAATATGAGTGCTGCTGGCATATATTGGGACTAGGTACCTTCCAAGATTAGAAATGGCAAGTTAAAAGGAAGTACAACCCAATACTGGTATCCCCAACAGCAGGTGGCCGAGTGGTAACAGGTTGCACTTGTGTACTACGAGAGAAGTGCCGAAGATCTTCTACTACCTGGACTGTTCCGGTTCGACTCCGGTCGTTCTCGCGTTTGTCCTCTCTTTTCCCCCCTTTTTCTTCATCCCTTGAATCTGTAAATATCTCGAATTGACAATGATTTTAAGGTTTGATAGTGGGGCCTGCCATATTCAAAACTGTCCCAGGGTCTATGTTAAGCATCTTCTTGAAGTGTTTCGGTAGTTGTTAAGAATGTGCATAGGCTATATAACAACTAATAGTTCGTGATATGTTGATGTTTGGTGTTGAGGCGAGGCTCATCCTGGTTGGTAGACAGGGCAACTGCGCTTCCCCGCCACTTCCCCTGCAGGAGTTAAAACCAACCACCTGCAAGCTTCTTTCTTTCTGTTACACTCAAGTATACACGTTTTCTATAGTCTCCTCTGAGATAATTCATAAATCAACATTTTTCTTTTGTCACCTATTTTCCGCTGCTGAGACAGACACCTGATCCAACACCCTACCTTTCTTCAATGCAGGTCAACAATAGAGATACCTCAACCCTCCCGATTCAGGGCCCTAGCCAAAGCGCTCGAAAGCCACAAGCATCATTTGCTAGCCCGGTCCAAATGGCCATGTTTGCACGGGTAACATCGTATCCCCCGCTAGGACAAATCACTTGTCTCCAACCGGCACAGGTATCACGGTCTGAGGAAGATGCGGTGAGTCACCGAATATGATCATATCTGATGTCGCCAACAATACTTTCCCAGGCGTTATTGAGGCTAGGATGCAAATCCATACTAATATCATTGAAGCTGCGTTTCACGGTTACCATCGAGTCCAGTAGCTCATTCCCCGCACAATCATGGGAAGCGCAGATCTGGCATAACATCACTAGCCCCGAATGGGGTTCTCTACCATTAAAGAAATATAACACAGACCATGCAGCTCTTTTGACCGGAAATGGTAGCGACTACCACTACCATCGCTATATATTCTCAACAGAGATATTACTGCCAGCCGCAGGAGGTCATGCCCAGTTCACTGTCCGGTTCCGGACCGGTCCAGACACGGAATGGCAGTGGGCTAACCAAATACACCCTGTCAACGACGGTGAAATTATATATAGCGCATGCCACTCTGATCTCGGCAAGGCTGTGTCCACTGATGTCGCCGCACCCGCCCCTAAAGAGCAACTGGCGAAGTACATTGATAATCTTCATGATGACTTGCAAATTGAGTCACGGCTTAGTGAATCTCCTGGATCGGTCCTTTGGGCGCTTTTGGGTGATATAGATGCTGCCCAAATTGGAACTTCAAGCATCAAACGACTTGCGCTTGGCACCCCTTCGTCGGTGGTGAGGTATTTCTCACTAGTACGTGTTTCGAGTCCATGGCTGGGTCCTAGACATGGCAAAGAAAACTTTCGACTTACCGAGGACGCAATACTTTGCTCTTTTCTGCGCGAAGATGGCGTGAATCTTGTTCTACTGGCTGTTTCCGGAGTCAACGATGTTTTGACCGTATTCCAGTCAGGCGAGAACGGTGAAGTTGTGATCTCCGCAAAGAGTGACGATTTAGAAGCATCAAAGTTCCATGTGCTTATCAGCGCCGCGGAAAATTTCGAAGTTGCTATGTCTGCAGTAGTCTATGAGGCACGGAAAGTGGTCCGGCCATTTGCTGATGCAGCTCATCTGGATTTGGAAGATTCGGTCCCGTTGTCTCCCCCTGGTGATGATATGGTCCTTGTTGAGAAAGACCCAAGTGCACAGTGGCTTTCTGAGTGGTTTGACGGTCTCACATATTGTACTTGGAATGGACTGGGACAGGAGCTAAGCGAAGAGAAGATCTTGCATGCCTTGGACTCATTGAAGGCGAATGGGATCAATATCGTCAACCTCATTATCGATGATGGCTGGCAGACAAATGACAATGAAGGGGAGTCTCAGTTCAAGCAAGGCTGGAAGCAGTTCGAGGCACATTCCAAAGGATTTCCTAAAGGATTGAAGCATACCGTGGAAGGTATTCGCCAAGCACATCCCAATATTGAACATGTTGCGGTCTGGCACGCCTTGCTGGGTTACTGGGGAGGTATCTCACCAGATGGAGATCTGGCTCAAAGATTCAAAACAAAGCAAGTGAAGATCAAAAACCCAGCTGCTAATGGGCCCATGCCGGAGAGCCTACCACATTTTACAATGCTTGCCATTGATCCCGATGAGATTAAACGATTCTATGACGAGTTCTACAGCTACCTTACGTCTGTTGGTATTGACTCGGTCAAGACCGATGCACAATTCTTCCTCGATCTCCTCGAGGATACAACGGACCGGCGGAGCTTCATGACTTCTTACCAAGATGCATGGTCTATCGCATCACTCCAGCACTTTAGCACTCGGTCAATCTCATGCGGGTCAATGACTCCTCAAATTATCTTCCATTCACAAATGCCCACCAACAAACCGACACTTCCATTGCGAAACTCCGACGACTTCTTTCCAGATTCTGTTGCCTCTCACCCGTGGCATGTATTCTGCAATGCTCACAATGCACTATTCACCCGATATCTGAACGTATTGCCAGACTGGGATATGTTCCAGACAAGTCACACATACGCATCATTCCACGCCGCAGCACGATGTGTATCTGGAGGACCAATCTATATCACTGATGAGCCGGGCAAACATGACCTAACCCTGATCGATCAGATGGCCGCACCTACCGTAAAAGGAATCACGGTGATCTTGCGTCCTAGTGTAATCGGACGCACGATAGACATATACCACGACTACAACGAAGGAC